ATTTTTTGCATATTTGTCACACTTAAAAGATTCAGATCATCAAACAAATTTTAATATTACACAAAGATAATGCAAGTAAATACAAAATGCAGTTTTTAAATTATTATTTATTTTATTAAGGGAAAAAAGCTGTCCAAACCTGCCTGGCCCTATGTGAAAAAGTAATTGCCCCCTAAATCTAATAACTGGTTGTGCCACGCTTTGCAGCAACAACTGCAATCAAGTGTTTGCGATAACTGGCAATGAGTCTTTCACATCGCTGTGGAGGAATTTTGGTACACTCTTCTTTGCAAAATTGTTTTAATTCAGCCACATCGGAGGGTTTTCGAGCATGAATGGACTGTTTAGCCATTTGATTTGGCCACTCCAAAACCTTAATTTAGTTTTTCTTGAGCCATTCAGAGGTGGACTTGCTGGTGTGTTTGGGATCATTGTCCTGCTTGGCAATTTAATGTGCTGCATTATTTTGCTCATTGCGCCCTCCTGTGGCCTCGGGAAACAAGACAAACGTTTCCTTCAGACCTATTTAATCTGCATATAAAACATTGGAAAAGAGATATTTGTTTAATTTTTATTTTGGGTTTGACTGTTAAAACTAAAAAATATTTGTTGTTTGTCTCAATAAATTGGGTTAAATTTAAACAGTTTTTTCTATTGCTCTTTGTTTTAAAAACAGTTATAAAAAATGTCAATAATTATCGATACCGAACGATATGAAACATCATATCGTTGATACATTTTTACATATGCATGCGAATGCGTCAGACCGGAAACGCAAGCCCGTGCAAAAAGTTTTCGCATTTCGCTGCATTCTAAAGCCCCGTTCACACCGCCAGCGACTTTTTCGCTGTTTGTCGCTTGTAGCTGGCAATTGATGTCGCTAGTGGGCGTTCCCACTACTGGTTGCCTAGTTCCCCCGTAACACTCCACTACAGCAGATGAATCACGTGCTCTCCACTGACTTCACTCCCATTGGTTGTCGCTTGTTAAATTCACTGCTTATTTGCATAAAGTTGAAGAATTCTGAACTTTTGTCGCTTGACTCGCATCGCTTGACACGCCCACATTTCGTCGCCAATGGTCACTGTCGCTCGTGTCGCCAGCTCTACACTGAAAATGAATGGGATTATGTCGCTCTGTCGCTGGCGGTGTGAACGGGGCTTAAAGTTCAAATTTGGTGATCTCTGGCCAGCGAATTCGCATCATGTGATACCGTGTGACCAACGGCAGATCGATACATCACTGCATGACCTCGTACCTAAATTATGAGAACATAAATTTTAAACTGCAGCGCTGCAGGAAAGTGGAGTAGATTGTATGTTTTTACATTTTAGATGTATTATAATTTGTTACGTGTTGAATTTAAGTTTTTAAAAAGACGCTGCACAGCGTGATGTCACATCATGACCGTTGCAGCATGCGAAACAATTTTGCATTCTCAAAAAGTGGCTTTAAGGGGCGGTCACACTAGACTTTGAACGTGCTAATTTTTTCCGGACACTGCTGCAAATATGGGTGGGAGTAGGATATGACAATAATAATAATATACTTGTGTATAATAATTATATTGTACTCTCTCTCTCTCTCTCTCTCTCTATATATATATATACCGTGGTGTGAAAAAGTGTTGGCCCCTTTCCTGTTTTTTTTTATTTTTTGCATATTTGTCACACTTAAAAGATTCAGATCATCAAAAAAATTTTAATATTACACAAAGATAATGCAAGTAAATACAAAATGCAGTTTTTAAATTATTTTTTATTTTATTAAGGGAAAAAAGCTGTCCAAACCTGCCTGGCCCTATGTGAAAAAGTAATTGCCCCCTAAATCTAATAACTGGTTGTGCCACGCTTTGCAGCAACAACTGCAATCAAGTGTTTGCGATAACTGGCAATGAGTCTTTCACATCGCTGTGGAGGAATTTTGGTACACTCTTCTTTGCAAAATTGTTTTAATTCAGCCACATCGGAGGGTTTTCGAGCATGAATGGACTGTTTAGCCATTTGATTTGGCCACTCCAAAACCTTAATTTAGTTTTTCTTGAGCATTCAGAGGTGGACTTGCTGGTGTGTTTGGGATCATCGTGTGTACCGATTTTCGTACGTGTACGTAAAACGTAGCTCGAGGAGCACTCTGTTGAAATTTTACAGGTGGCGCTATCAAGCCATTTTGCCACACCCACTTCTGAAACCCTTATCAGATGTACATTTTCACCAGTTCTGACACGTGTGCAAAGTTTCATGAGTTTTGGAGAGTGTTTAGGCCCTCAAAAATGTGACTTAATTTGGAGATGGAGAAGATATACTGGAGAGGTTCAATAATAATTTGTGAATTTCACCTCAAAATCAAAAGGAAAAAAATGATGTTTTTCAAAAAGAAAATGAAGACTTACTTTTAAGAACATTCATTTGTTTTAAGACAATTAGAAAGTGACATTTTAATTACATTTGGGGTAGCTACTGTAAAAAAAAAAAAACGGTAAAATGAATTGTGAGGAAAATGTGCTTAATTGTAATGATAATAATGTCACAATCCAACAAATAAATATTGAAAATTAGTCTTAAATTACTAATTTCTTATGAATATGTCCTTTTTATCATGAGATTCCCCCTTAAACGTTCCAATGCTTAATGCTGAACAAGAAAGAAAACACAGTGAGGGTTTGAACACAATTTATTATAAGCTTAAATAATTAATTTGATCATCCAGTGTATGTTCGTTTTTTCCATACATATGTTTGTTACCAGATCTATCATCCATGAATGCTTGGGTGATTTCTCAATGCATCAAAATCAAAGTAAAATTTCCCCCAAAACCACAGCAGCCTTGAAAAGTAGTGATACACTGCTAGAATGATTACAAATGACAGAAAGACTTCTACATCTTAGAGCCAATACACATGAGAACAGTTAAAAGTTCCGTACCGGTGAGCGTTCGGATTGCAGCTGTATCTGTAACTGCATAGGGAACGTGTCGCTGTGATGTGATGGGACACAGTGTATTTTAGTGAAGCTGAACAATGGTGGTGTCATACTGTCATCTTTCTAAAAAAACAAAAAAGTGAGCATTAGCAAGGCTGTGAGTGCATCCATACAGAACATCATTCCCCCTTCTCTTGTGTGTTATGCTGTTTAGAAAAATCAAAATAAAGTGAATCACATGCATGAAAATATTAGTACTCTGAAGAAGTCTCTAAACAGAACTACAGCGGATCCAATGTTCATACCACTGAAAACCGCAGTAGGTTTGAAAGAAACATCCGTTGTTAAAATCAAGCTGGCTTTTTTTCATTTACAAACATTTTTCTTGCTAATAATTATACAAGTGCATGTGACGTTACACCGAAGCGTTCCCTTAAAATTGGAATCAGAATTGGTAGTTCATTCCTACACACTTGCCAGTGCATTACCAATATTGTGAGCCACCTTCAAATTTATACAGTGTAATTTATGTACATCATAAGCTCCAACAGCATTATACACCCTGACATCATGGGTCCGAGAGGAAAAAAATGTAAGGCGAGTGTAGAAGGTGATTCGAACGAGTCCCTCCTTTTCTGTCAATCTGCAGTATGTTTCGTGGCCTCTTTGGTCTCTCGTATCGTACGCCCCCAGTCGATCGAAACGTCGCACTGACAAAGTCCTCTCGACCGTTAGCCGTTCGGTGTTATTGACAGAAACAAGTTTTTTTTTTTCATGCTCATGCGAAATCAAAAGCCGTCTGGCTGAAAACCGTTTGTTTTTATGAAAGCTGCGGACACACGATCCTCATCCCCTGACCTCCTGCACGTTTCCAGTGGTCCTCCTCGTAAGAAAATGGTTTTGAAACACTTTCAGATCTGAAACACAGTGAGACACAGAAACATATCAACTCCATTTATTCATTTAAGAACACAGCATAGCTTTTCAATTGATAAACAGTGGAGTCTAAAAATGTGAGAGTGCATTGAAAATCTGGTATTCAAAATGTAATTTATAATCGGAAATAAGCAGAAAGCTTCAAGATTTCTAAAGCAAAGACTATTATGATATATTCATGATTCTGCGCTATTTCTAGGCCACTAATTAAATCTAAACAACAACAATGAAAATAATTCCGTGTTGACATCTTTAGATGTCCAGTCATTGTGTAGGTTTACAATGCAAGATCCAAATGAACAATTCAAACACCTTGTCCTGGTTTGGACACAAAGGCATGAGCAAAAGAACAGTTGCATGGGCTAATTTGCTGCGTCTGCATGTCATCAGTGGGCTGTACTGGAAAAAGCGCTGTTACAAAGCACATTTCTCTGGAGACTATTGTGTTGATGACTATACACAAAAGCTACCGCCTGAACTGGCAGGATTCCACTCTGCTCTTTTACACTGAACCATATGGACTTACCAAAAAGAGCACAACTGTTACGATTGACCCATTTTCTCCCTTTGTCTTCCTTCCTTTTTTATGCCCTTCCATCCTTCTCCAGGCTGAAACAACAAAAGCTTGCAGGTTAGAGATGACTTGTCATACAGTAGAGCATCAACAGGGATATTACTCCCAATGCCCATCCATGGTAACACACAACAAATGCTATAAAAGAAAAAAAAAATATTAGTGAGAAAACAATGTTCACTCTCTTTTTTTTTTCAAAACCTATTTTTATACACCCTTCAGCCACATAAGCAGAAACACCACCTGTGCAGTCAGTGTCAATGAAGAAATTGTTTTCTCAAAATGAATTTAAAGGGATAGTTCAGCAAAAAAAATGAAAATTCTGCCATTAATTAATCAGATGCATGCTGTACATAAAACAGTCTTTGTAAACATGTCTGAAGATTTCGACAGAGAGGGTGACTTGCAATTTTTTGCCCAGCCTTACTTAGTATATTCAGAATATACAGATGATGAACTAAGAGATGGAAGTTCTATGTCACAACGCCAACTCCTGCATCAGCAGCTCCACACGCATGCATCGTGGTACTCTCGTGAACGCGTGTCGAAGACTGACAACGAAATTGTTGTATAAAGTAATAGATAAAGTTGAATAAAAGTATTCTTATAGCTTTATAACATTACAGTTGAACCACTGATGTCACATGGACTATTTTAATGATGTCCTTGAAATCTTTCTGGGCCTTAAAAGTGAGTGTCAGTTGCGTTGCCTCTCTATGCAGGGTCAAAAAGCTCTTGGATTTCATCCAAAATATCTTAATTTGTCTTCCGAAGATGAACCAAAGTCTTAACGGGTTTGGAACGACACGAGGTTGAGTAATTAATGACAGAATTGTCATTTTTGTGTGAGCTATCCCTTGGACTAATTGGATTTTTTTTCTTCTGTTACAAAAATTACAGTAAAGCAACGTAGATAACATACCTAGATAACATTAGGCTATCTATCTAGCGTAGTTATATTCAGGTCAAGCATTACTGTTCTTTTTTTGTTTGTTTGCATTTGTGAGGTAACTCAAGATTTGTTACCTTGTCAAGATAACTTGTATTATTCTGAGATCATGAGAAAAGTAAGTTATGCTCATGGGAAAACAAAACATTCTGAAGTCATTTTTTCAGTTTCATTTGTTGTAGAATGCAGCCTAAATTAAATCAGCATAGCTTCAGCTCCATACTGAAAATCAATGGGCACGCGGATGGACTCCAGTTGTAACAGTTTAGCGCATTCACGCTTTTTCACCTCACCTATTTTTTTTGAGTCTGCTTCGTGTTCTAAATGTTTTTTAGTTCTGTGTTGGTAGCAACATTAAAAGTGTGCGGCCACACAGCTAGAGGGAACACATATCAGTCCACAGACGTTTTTCGCTCAGTTTTCCATTAATAAAGCCACTTCAAATCAAAATCAGAAAATTTGGGTTAGATTTCAGATACAGCAGGCTGTTCTGAAATGTTCTGCACACTGCAGGCCCGCACTAGCACTAGCATCAGCACCGCACACGAATCCAACCTCAGTGTGCTCTCTGTGGGGCCCGGGGCCCCCCTGTTCCTCCTGCTCGGCCCTATTGGCCTGCCGGGAACGCTTCCCACGCTTTCTCCTGCCTTTCTCTTCCACACCAGCTGTGCGACGCACCACTTTACGGATGACCTAAGAGAAGGGGGTAAAGTCTCATGGTAATGGTTTAAACCCACATGGGGGCAGAAGGGAAGGGAAAAGACGTGGTAAAATGAGGAGACTGTGACGTTGCTAGGGATGGGCATGGACATTACTTTTCTGGTGACCGTGTTTCCATCTTCATCTGTGTACTGCTCCTCTGTCACAGTCTCAACAGGGATGTTTCTGGCCTGATCACCCTACAGAGGTGGGATGCACGATGAAACATCAGATCTTTTACTTTGTTTAATAGTTTAGATCACACACACACACACACACACACACACACACACAAACATGAAAAAGTAAAAAAAGAAAAATAATAAGTGCTTTCATCAGATCTTTTTTGGTTTGAGACAAGACAAAGTTTCAAGCCAAACGTGCTGATGACAACGGCTGAATGTATTTAGTCATTAAAAAAACATACAAATTAATTGTTAAATCCAACACTGCAGGCAAAAAAAGGAAAAAGCAGAAGCTGGGTTTCTTATACATCTTTCAAATGACATGCCAAAGACAACTCGTTAAATTAATCCAGTAATTATTGACTTGATTTTTTATAATACACAGTAGTAGTGATATAATCATTTTTTTTATACAGTCAATGTTTGTAAAATGTAGTTAAATTAAAACCAAATCTGTAAAATTAGTATTAGTATTAATAATAATAATAATAGTATTAGTAGTGATGCTAACCTTAACAAGCATCTTTAATTAATCAAAGATAGGGGAAGGAGAAAAAATAGCGGAGAATAACAAAACATAAAAAAAGAAAAATAGATCACGCTAGAAAAATACACTCCAAAAAAGTGGCAGTGTGCTAATCACTTCATTCCCTCTTAGCACACAGTCTAAAAGCACACGCAACCGGCCCAAATCTACAAAAGTACCACTCACAGTACCTTCAGAATCACTCTCCGCCGATACACTCTGGTGGTGACAGTTTCTTCCTCATCAGAGCTGGATTCATTATCTCTACGAGCTTCCTGCTAGAGTCAGGTCAGCACATTACAGCAGTGCATGAGCCATCAAACTCATATGCAGTGCTTCAGACCTTCAACTAATGTTCTTGAAGTCACAAATCTTCACTGTGCTCAAGAATTGAGCATTGATAATAATAATTTCTTTCAATGGGGAATGTAATCACGTTTACATTCGCAGTTGTAATCAATCTAAAGTTAGATAGCTATAAGAAAAAAGCAACATTCTTCATCTGTCGAGGTATACGTGATGCATTTGAAGCATAATCAAGTACTTCAAGAATTAAATACAATACATGTCACGTCTTTTGTTAAACTTAGATTTGCTTATTGCTCATCTTTGTTGTAGCTTGAGACTTGAGAGACTGGAGAAGACATGATGACATTTGCAGTAAATTACTATAGCACGAAAGTTTGAGTACAATGGAACTTTTACAAAGGAAGAGCCCAAAAGAAATGGCGGACTCCCTGGGCAGTGAATTTAGGGTGTTTTTACACCTGTAGATCGATTGCTTTGTTCCGAAACAGGGATTAAAATTATTACAATGTTGCTTTTTATTCTTGGTGCGGTTCGCTTTCACACGGCAAAGTTTCTAAACAGACCAAATTTGTTAATACAAGTCACGCACGAGTAAACTGTTGTCTCATTGGTCAAAGTTCCACGGTTTATTTTCCGAGATTCCACTTAGCTGTCACAGCTGTCATCTGTCAGGATGGACCATAACAGCTTTTTTTTTTTGTAGCTGTCCTTTAACATTTTTAAAATGCACCTACTAGGAAGAAGAGCAATAAGACGGGATTATAAAATGAAAAATGTGCGCTTTTTTATTTTGAATGGCGAAGACGTGCTCACCCACAGACATTCACAGGTTCATTTTGAAGTATTAGCAAAACAACAAAACTAATGCTTTTCACAGAATTTACGTAATTACCCATTATACATTGTGATATAGCCTGGTTCGTTGGTCCGTTAGATCGGATTGCTTTCTCACTACAACCGAACTGCTCCAGAATTCGTTTTCAATTGAGATGTTTTGGCGCGGAATCGTGCGCGATTGCCGTGTTCACATATGCCCAAACGAACCGAGCTAAGGGGGGAAACGCGCCATGTTCCGAAACAACGAGCCAGGTGTGAACGCACCCTTAGTTCTGAACAAGGGAGAAGATAGAGAGACTCTGAGCCATGTGAGTACATGCTTGGTTAAAAACTTGAAAATCTACAGGGCATTGTTGTTCAACTTTTAAGGTTGTCTCTCAAAGAAAATTTTACCTGGACTTTAGGCTCGGAAATGTCCTCCCCCCTGTTGTTTGGTCCTCTGTCCTCTAGAGCCTCACTGCTTACTTCTTCTTGTCCTGAGTCTTTCCTAGCTTTGCCCTTTGGTTTGCTGGAAGACTCACTCGCGTCTGGTGACAAGCGAACTTGGGCTTGGAGCTCTGGATGTTCCCCATTTTGCCTCTCAGTTTGCACTCCAGGTGTTGATGACATTAGTTCTTGGCTGTGGAGGCATCGAAGTTTGAAATACATTACTTGATTGATACCTAACCTGCTGAGCTTGTGGAATAAGAAAACAGTTTGTTGGTAGAGGTCACTGTTCTTACCTGGACTCTCTTTGCCCTTGTGTTTTAGGATTCAGTCCTTGGTCCAAAGTTGCCGTCTTCCCGTTTGTACCGGACGTCTCACTCTGCAGACCTGAAACTGAAGACATGTCTTTTTCTGCCAGCTGCACTTGAGAGAGGATCGCTTGCAGCCTCTCCTCAGTCATCTCCTCATCCTCTGAGCCTTCCTCCAACTTAATGTTCTCCAAGAGAGACTTTATCTTCTCTTGGGTCATCTCTTCATCTTCTTCGTCAAACCCAGACTTGCCACTCTCTCCAGGAGCTTCGCTGGCTGAGACACAAATGGGAAGCTTAGGTTGGACTTCCTTCTGCTCTTTTACTGGACTGTTTGGGAAGACATGTGATTCTTTTGAGGTTCCCTCACTGTCACGTTGTTCCAAGTTGGCTGCTGATTCTTTGCTGACACCAAAATCATCTTCAGCTGACCCATCCTCTTGGCTAACAGACTCTCGGCCTCCAATAGAGGTGTCTTCCGCCATGACGGTAGGCGGCTTGGTATCTGCAGACACTGGGCCACTAGTGTTTGGCAAGGACAGTTCACTGGGTCTAACAGGGGCACTAGAGGGGAACTTTAGCCTAATCTCCTCGCTAAAGAAATCATCTTGACGCAGAGGGGTAGGGGGCTCATAGGACAGCTCTGAGGGACTCTTGAGCTCCAGCTCAATGTTGTGGTAACCTGAGTGATACAACACAGTGAGATGGAGGCGAACAACACTTGTGCACAATGCCACAGCAACAGATGTTATGACAGAGGCCTTTGAAAATGTCATGGAGGTTCATGTTGATGTTAAGGTGGCATTCTGAACTGAATAAGTCCTAACTTGATGGCTTTAAAGGAATATTCTGGGTTATTTGCAGAAGTTAGAGAAGTCCCACCTTAAAAATTTGATAACTTCACAACTCAAATAACAAACATTTGCACAGAATGTAAGCGCTTTAGCAAAAATACAAGCTTTATATTTCAGCTTTATAACCTTCTGGCACACTTGCCCCATCATCTTGCATCTTAGACTCCCATTGTAAGTGGATTACTTTTGAGGAAAAGTAATTTTCTGTGATAGTCAAAAGGATACCACAGATGATCAATAGCAGGTAAGCTAACCCAGAATACTCCATTACAAATATACCATTAAGGTAAGCAACATATAGTATAATTAGTATAGTTATAGTATCTGAAAGTGTAGTTCACCATGTAATTTTCAAAGGCAGATAATTACAACACTAAATATAAAGTTCAGGAACAGTGGGGTCTTGACATAAATGGAAGAAGATGGGTGATGATGATGGTGAGGAAAAGGACTGTTTGGTCAACACTTTAAGGTTAGGAGATACAAATGATGTAGATGAAGTAGGGGCAGTAGAAACTGTCATGGACACCAGGTTACAGAAAAATGGAGCAAGACAAGATGGTGCAGATATGGTGTTAAAAACATGAGATGTATCAGGATGATGTTGCTATATGAAGATAAGAATGCAGTGTTAATAAGAGTGAGTTACCATAGCATGAGTGAAGAGCTGTAGCAAGAGCTAGCACTAATTTACTCCACCAAAGACAGAGCAACTACGCTAAACAGTGCTGCACCACTGTGCTTTGAAATGAGGCAAGTGTTGCTATGAAAGAAGTTGGTAGGCAGTGGAGAAGCAGCTGGTCTGGATTTGCAGCAGAAGCACTCTATCAGGAAGGTTCAGAGGATTCTGGGATACTGGAGGATCAGGCAGCTTGACAGCAAGCAGACATTCCATAGTAGCTTGGTCAACACTTTAAGGTTAGGAGATACAAATGATGTAGATGAAGTAGGGGCAGTAGAAACTGTCATGGACACCAGGTTACAGAAAAATGGAGCAAGACAAGATGGTGCAGATATGGTGTTAAAAACATGAGATGTATCAGGATGATGTTGCTATATGAAGATAAGAATGCAGTGTTAATAAGAGCGAGTTACCATAGCATGAGTGAAGAGCTGTAGCAAGAGCTAGCACTAATTTACTCCACCAAAGACAGAGCAACTACGCTAAACAGTGCTGCACCACTGTGCTTTGAAATGAGGCAAAAGTGTTGCTATGAAAGAAGTTGGTAGGCAGTGGAGAAGCAGCTGGTCTGGATTTGCAGCAGAAGCACTCTATCAGGAAGGTTCAGAGGATTCTGGGATACTGGAGGATCAGGCAGCTTGACAGCAAGCAGACATTCCATAGTAGCCAGAGCCATGCTATTGATATTGCTTCCAAACTACTGAGTTACTGTTAGCACTACACAGAGAGAAACATTAAGGCTATCATGCTGTAAAAGCAGGTTGAATCCTATTATGTTTTCATGTATGTTTAACATCTCAGAAAAAAATCAGAAGAGAAAACAGAGTAGAGCACTATTGCCATTGCTAATAAATACAGTAGTTGGTATACTTTGGAGAGGATACTTTGTATACACATAAACATAATATTTGTCTTAATATGGTATGAATCAAATCTTAAACCCATCAGATCCAGCACACAAAGCAGAATATAAAGCCTTAAAGGGGTCATATAATATTGCTAAAAGAACGTTATTTTGTGTATTTGGTGCAATGAAATGTGTTTATGCGGTTTAAAGTAGAGCACTATATACGGCTATTGTAGTTCTGGAATTTGGTAATTAATTTTAATTTCTACAAAAGCATGTATCATCAATTAACAATATCAAATATGAAAGGTTTATTCATAATCACTGGTGAAAACCAATGTTTTTTTTTAACTTATGGATCCCAACTGTTGCTCCATATAAATTTATTGTAATTTCCACTATTATTAAGATGGGGTTAAGTTTTGATTCAGCATTAGCTTAAGTCATATACTATATAGATGCATGCTTTAATGCTTTCATACAAACATACAATACAATCATAATAATTCAATATTTATGATTACACTGATCCCTGACTGGTCCAACACCAGGCTGGGAAATAGCAGTGTTGATAACTGGCGAACCTAACTGATTAGAAAAGATTGAGATTTAAACTTAAACTTGAGTTTAAGTTTATACTGGGTTTGAATTTAGAGCAATAAGTGTTTGGCCATGACGGTTCTATGAATCTACAGATTTGTGAGAGACATAGAAAAGTAGAGTTCAGGTAGATGGGGCTAAACTTTACCATCAGCCTGCTCCTGGGAAACTGCGCTATCATCTGCAAAACATCTTGTGCCTGAAATGTTACCATAGTCAAATATCGGCCCTTCCAGCAATGTCACAATATCCAGCCGATTGAGCTTAGTCAGGACTGCAGTTAAGGCATCCGCTAAAAGGAAAAAAGAAAAGATATTCATGATTGCACATATTAGCTGAACAATAAATTTAGCCTTTAAAGGTGCTGTATGTAGGACTGACACCGAGTGGTTGAACTACAGTCCAAATTCAAAATATTGGAGAGGGTTTTTTTCACACGGCCCCTCCTCCTCAGACTTGACGATGAATGAAATGAAATACGCTGTGTTTTCCGCCAACTGGCAACCCAAGGTGACGAAATACAATTGGGTAAACTGGCAGTGGGCGGGTTTCACAAACCAAAACAGAGACCGACATTCCGGCACGGAACGCACATTTTCAAAGGAGAATAACTGACTGTAGCATTGTTTTTCAGATAAACAAGTATGTTAACTTAGCATGTTTCTTAAATATCTGCAAACATATTATGGTATTTTTATGCTTTAGTAGAGTCAAAAACTTACATACAGCACCTTTAAGTTATTTCTCTTATAATGGCTGAGAATATGATTTGGATACAGAAGTCTGTCCCTGCCCAAACCCCACCCACCTTTCTCCTCTCCGTATGATTCACCCTTATTCAGAAAATATGTAGTGCATAGGCACACTTACTTGTAGCGTTTTTACCATCTCGGCTAACCCATTTCTTTAATAGCATGAAACTCTGAGCTGTCAATGAGTTGGGGTTTTCCACACGGATTTGATTTATCTCATCAACCGAAAATTCCATTTCCCTGGCCAGCTCTGCAACACATTAAAAATAGATTAATGACTCCTCTGTCTTTACCACTCCCCCCATACACATGTGTGACTGCAGACTGCAGTGACTGCAGATGGCACACCCTACTGTTCACAGCAGCACCGATGCTTTGAGAAACAACAAGAAGTAAAGCAAAGCCATATGGGCAAAAAATAATAATAATAAAATTTTTTTTAAATGTGACATTATTTTCACATATGACATTATTACAGAGATATAAACATATAGGGTATATTTGTGCTAAGGTGTAATGTAACACTTTGTCCTCTAGGTGGTGTCATTTCTTACCAGTCCAACTCAGGCCAAGATGATCCGCCACAATTGCCATACGTACATCTGTTCTTTCACAGGGGCTCTGAGGGCCTGAGAGCAGAAGATGGAAAGTCATGAAAATCTTTAAAACATAATATTCAGAGAAGTTAGAAAAGTAATAAATCAGACTACCCTTTTCTGATCTAGTCAAGATAATTAAAAGTGTGGGGGAGATTTTTGCATATTTTAGCTACAACAAAATGAGTCCATATCCAAATAACAGGTGAGGGGAGATTGATCAGAAAAGAGTTGCAAAAATATTTTGATATATTCAGTTATCTTGTTAGTTTTTGTTAGTTTTAAGAGGTTAGATTTGTAAAGAATGCATCTAGCCAATCTAATTGGAAATGTTTAAACCTTCTGACAATATACTCTTACCAGAAACACAACAAATAAATCACAAAAAAGACACGATTCAAATGTCTCTACTGCTACAGCAGAGGGTCAAATGTGAATTCACAGTATCAAATGAAACTAAACATGCGGCATCTTTGGTGCTGTGCTAGGACTGTGTGTCTGCGTGGGCTCATGAGGTCTATAGGCTTCCTTAGCACCTTACACGAAACTAGGAACCAATAAAAATGGCCTGCAAACCCACTCACACTGGCATGCTACAGTAAAACTGACTATCCATAGAAAGAGATCTGAAAACAGGAGAGACCAGCACACAAGTACACAAAGAGAGAGAAAATGACAAATGACAGAGATGACATCTACAGTCAGGTCACACCACAGGCAATCACAACGGCTCATGCAACTAAGATCATACAAGTGTAAAGTTTTACAAACTATGCTTGATCTCCACGCCGGGGGCCACTTGAGGCCCAGCACCCTGACTGCCTTCACCTCCATCAGTCCTCCTACTCCTCCTCCTCCTGTCTCTGCCGGACTGCTCAACCTGTGATCTCACGTCTCTAGCAGACCTGGATGTACTGGAGAGTTGCGACGCTTCTGATAAAGATGTGTTCCTTGATGTGCTGCTTTGTTCATCCTTATCATATCCCTGCATCTTTTTATCTTCACTGGAAAGGCAGTCCACAAGCTTTACTGCACTACTAGGTTTTGAAATACTAGAACTTTTGCCAACCTCACTTGGGGGCTCCTGATCACATTTACTGCCTGATCTACTCACTGGACCGGGTTTTGATCTTTTGTTGGTGGTTATCGTTTTGGTTGGCTGTGCTTTACCTTTCTGTTTGGCTATTGTGGTGATCCTACATTTCCCAATTGGTGAGAAACTAACATTTTTGACCTTCATCATTGGGATTCTAGATTTAGGCTTCACATCTGGGAATGGATCTAATCGATTCCTGGCTACTGGTCTAATCTTCTGAATTGGTCTCGAAGATATTAGATCTTTTTTACAACCCAGTGGTGGATGAGGTGCTCTCACTGGCAACCTAGACTTTGGTGGCTTTCTTGTAATGTCTTTGCATTTGGAGATTACATCATTATTCTTTGTACTGCCATCCCTGAAAGTACCAGTGTCCTTTCTGACTGAATCTTCACATGGGTTTATTAATTGAACTGAGCAAAGATCAGACATTAACAGCTGTTCGGTTTGTATGCCGCTTTGTAGCAAGCAGTGTGTTCCAGCATTTAAGGCCTCAAGATTAGCATTATTACTGCAGTTTCTGGAATTACTGGAAGTTGTCTGGAGGTATGTCTGTGGCTCTGTCGATGAGTCTGTCCTCTGATTGTACTTGCTTGTTCTATAGGTGTCTGGTCCTACTTGATGTGCAGTTTCTGGTGTTTGACCTTGTGAACTATCTGAGTCTACACAAACAAAATCTGTCCTCTCAATGTTGGAAGATTTGAGTCCTACCTTAAAAGACGAACATAAAGAACTGACTTCTGAATAGGGGGGAGGCTCCATGTCATTAGATGTGTCTGAGTGGTCAGTGCATATCTGAATGATATTGTATGATATAACCGTGTTGTCCTCCATCTTAAATTGTGCTCTATCAACTATCTGTGGATTTGAGGTGACTGTATTTGGTTTTCTGACCCCATCCCCTATCCTCCCTCCTAATGTATGCTCACCGATCTGAAAAAATTGCAGCCTCTCTTCAACAAAATCCCGCTTGCTCATGTCAATCGCACCACTGCGGGTCATCTCAAACATCTTCCCTTCGTGGAAAGGGAAAGGGTTTGGCTCACTAGTTGGTGTGCTTTCATCGGTTGGAGTTCTTGCAGGAGTTGTGTCAGGGGTTGTTGCCGTAGACTTGTCATCTACTGCTAGCCCAAACGGCGTGGGCTCATCATCTTTAATTCTAGCGTCCACTACTTCATCTTCTCCTCCCTTGCTTGACCAAGGATCAAAGCCTTTTGTTGCAACAGTTTTGAAAGGAGTATTAAACTCCTCATCTAGCTTGTAACTAAAGTAAGTGTCTGACAATCCTTGATCAGATTGTTTTCCATCCTTTTCACTGTCCTTTCCATTCCTTTTGTTTGAGGGATCAGTCTTAGCTTTGGTCTTTTTGTAATCCTCAGCAGGTGATTCTTCATGAATTACTTCAAGTTTACTTTGGCAACGGTCACTTGGTCTAGACATATTATCTGATGCCCAAATATCCTTTCTGTTTTCATTGGGAAATCCAAATGGTTTGGCAATAGGTTCACTTAAGCCGTCATCCTCATCTTGAAGTTCATATCCATCAAGAGAGTCAATCTCAGTGGCATCAGTGTCATGAGAGAACTCTGCCGTTGTCGCTATTGAGCAATCTGTGATGGACTGATCATTGCCATTTTGTTCATAATCATAATCTTCTGCTTTTCCATTACCATTTGCCCCTTGTTCTTTATCGTTCCCATTCTTGTCAGGTATTTTGGATGGGCTTTTCTTCAAGTCTTTGTCCTCATCAATCTTAAAGGTATATTTCTTTATTGGAATAGGTTTAAAGACAGATTCCTCCTCCTCACTTGAATCGCTATCATTAGCTCCTGGGGGCACAGGAGATGGAGGCTGGACTCTTATTATAGGTTCAGCAAGATGTTTATCATGCTCCTCTTGGAGATTTACTTCCATCAATTCAGTCTCAGCCTCTGAGGAAGGAGTCGACCCTTTTTTCTCAGGCTGTGAGGAATAAGAATCCAAGGGTGGTGGAGGAGGAAACTCTATATATGCGATTCTTTTGTCTTTTGTCTCCTGGCCAGTTTCGTGCTTATCATTGCCTCTTTTTTCTGGTCCAGATTCTTTCAAATGAATAGCTTTGCCTTGCTCACTATCTTCTGACTCCTCTGAAACCTCAGCTATTGGGCTTTCAATACCTGGCATAAATGCAATAAATGGATCAGGGGTTCTCGAGGTGAGATCATAGCTGACCTCTTCTGAGCTTGGTGTCTCTGGAGTCATAGGACTTTTGCCAGAGCTATCAATAAAAGATAACTGTTCTAAAGTGTCATCATCTGGGCTGCCTTGAGGAGATGTGGGCTGTTTCTGTTTAACTGCATAAATTGTTCGACTTTCTGAGCTAACCATCTTTTTGAATGTTCCATTGGTTCCTCCTCCTCCCATTTCTTTGTCAGACTGTTTCCCTACTTGAACACTTACATAGACTGGTAAAGTTTTAAGCCCTTTGAAACTTTCTCTTGTTGTAACGGTGGATATGTTTTCCACCGAACTAGTGCCACTTAGACCACTTGTTGTTCTACTTTCAGCAGAGACTTCTTCAGACTTATTTGTTGCAGCTTCCTCTCTCTGTAACTCTGAACGGCCCTGAACCCTGGCTTTGGTCAGGGTAGGTATGTGCGATGGGCTCTTTTCAGATAATTTAGTTAATGTGTCTTGATTTGCCTTCTTTGACTGATCATTGCCTGAGGAACCAGGTGATCTCACAGGAATATGAGATTCTGTCTTTTTCTTAAGGGTCTTTATCTGAAAGTCATTCCTATTGATATTATCCTTAGACAATGAAGCTGTTTTAACTGTTTCATTTTTAATGTCACTCTTTAAATACTGCTGCTCTTTAATATCATTAATTGCACTATGCCTGTCTGCAATATTTCCATCTTTCAAATCTTTAGAGTCAACTTTAGTAGAGCTCTCCCGAGTTTGATCAAACTCTTGTTCTTTCCTTTTCTCAAAATGTGAGGCTCTTTTAACAACAGTATCTGATGTGGTAGATTTTTCAGGTAAACATTTTTCACCCGACTGCTTTGAGACAATAGTACTGCTGCTAATGTGAGGGGCTACTTTACTTTTATCGGTTTCTGTTCGTTTTTTAGCAGGTGGGTGTCCTTCGTCTGTGGAATCAGCTTTTGAAGGTTTTGAACCAGCGTAAAACTGATACACTGGTAATTTACTTTCTGGTAGTTTCTTAACTGGTTGTTTTGACTGTGTTAGAGGCACATTCTGATCCTGTTTCTGCGCTTCTATTTCAAACTTTTGTCGAACAGAACTCACTCTAGAAGTCTTAACTGGGACTGGGGGGTCTGCATCACCTGTCTTTGCCTGCTTAGGATCTTCGTGCTGTTTTGGCTTGTCCTCACTGAACTGTGACAGCATGTGCCTCTCAGGACTGTTTGGCAGACTTGCACTTGTCCTTTCGTTTGTGCTGCCAAACATCTTCTGTCTGCCTTTGTCCCATTCCTCAGCTGCAGTCTTTTGCTTTTTCTCAGGGCTGCTGCACATTGAGCTCGGCCCTGACCGTGTCTCTCTTGATAATCTTGTCGGTTTCTTTTTCTCAGGGGACTTGAGCTCATCATTTAACTTTTCAGTTTTGTCCCTAAAAAACTGTGAAACCTCACTCAGTTTCTCCTCTGCCTCTTTAATGGTCCGATCTACTCTATCTTCATATATGAGCTTCTCTCTGTTCCTGTCCTGCCTATCCTGGGTGAATCTCATCCACACAGCATGTTTAGGGCTACTGGGTTCTGTGGTATAATGTAATACTGTAACTTTGTCATATTGCTCATCTTGTGGGGGATATTTACCTGATTTGTCTGATGCATCCCTTGCTGACTTTAATTTGGACTCCTTCCTGGGGCCAGCTAATTTTTCTCCATATATGCCTTCTGCCCCATGCACCTCAGTGGCTACGCTATGCACCTGGTCTGCCACTGAGTCCTCAGTATCAGAATGTGATATGTCTAATTTTTCTGAGAGCAACATTTTCTCAGCAAACCTGTATGACTCCCCTCTCAACTCAGATAACTCGTCATCATGATACTCAATAGAATGCTGGCTTAGGAGTTTTAAAGCTTTATATGACTCATCTGCAATAAGCTGAGCTGAACTGGGACGAGACTCTTCCTCTTGAGAAACAGGTGTATTGACTCTGGATGTGTCTAAGAAAGACGGCAGTGATTCCTCAGCAGTAAGTTCCTCCTCATCTTGAAGAATCTCATAATCACCATCAACCCTTTCAACAAGCTCTTTGAGACCTCGGTCACTCCTGCATATAAACTCTGGATGCTTTTTAGTCTCTCTGATTATAACTTCTGTCGGGTCAGTTGTGTTGCCCTTTTCTATGTGCACCTCAATAATTCTCTCAACTTTTGGTTTTTTGTCCTTTTCGAGGAACCGTGGCGACAATTCATCTCCTTTAATGGCATCTTGGCCAGCTTTGTGCTCAAATAAACAGGCAAATTCTTTGGAAGGGTCTCTTCCAGACTGAAAAGCTTTCATTAAGTCTCGGACTGACATTGTTTCTTCAATCCTGTCAGAGCCAGCATCTTTCAGTTGAGGTGTGTGGTAGACCATTCGAGTTGTAGTGGTGATATGAGTTTCTTCTTTGACGCAGGCCAGTTCCTCAGAGCTGGCTTTCATCTGCAAGGCTTTTACCTTATCTTTGATCGAGCTAACTGCTGGCTCAGGCTCAAGCGGAGACTTCAAAGCTGCTGCCTCATCCATTAGTGGCTCACAGACCTCCTCAGGATGTTCATAGCTCCTGATGACGTGAACAACCTCAGTTCTGGTTTCTGTTATGACAGGGGGAATAGGCACATCTGTGAAGGGGGGTTTGGGCCCTGTGCTCTCTGCACTTTGAGGAGCTGATGGGGTCTTTTCACTTCTGGTTTCAAAACCACTATCTGAGAGGGGACTCTTATCTTGTTCATGGGAAAAGTCATCAGGAGATTCCAGGATAGCATCTGTGCCACTATAGGTGTCTGCTAATTTACTCAAGTCTTTCTCTGAGGGAGAGGTCCGCATACCTGTGGGTGGCATTTTGAGCTTGTGCTCCGGTTTCATGGTACGCTTTTGTTTTTCCTCCCCTTCCTTCTTTATTTCATCATACCTGCTCTTTACATCAGCTATTTTTGAAAGGGAACTGGCACCAAGATCATTCATTAAGTAATCAACCACTTTAGCTAAATTGAGATCTTTGTCTGGCACTGACTGTGGCCCGACAGGAAGGGTTGGTTCAAATGTTGGCAGGGAACGCAGGGCACTCTGTCGTGCCTCCTCAATTTCATCTTTGGAGAACTCTTCCCATTCATCTTCTGAGGCCCTGTCTTTACTTGAGCTTTTGGCCTCGCTCAGGACATCTTTTGTGAGAATTTCACTAACTTTGACAAGGTCCTCTTTAACTTTCTCAACCAAACTGAAAGGCTCTTCATCCTCCATCCTGGACTCTTTAGAAACATGCGAGTGGAAGCTTTTGGCTGCGGTTGACGAGTCAGTTTGTAAGATTGCGGTCATTCTTATCAGATCTTCCTTCATATCTGCCACATCCTTAAGAATCTCTTGACTGGATGTCAATGTGGGTGCGGTAGCAGCTTTGAGGACTGTTGGGGGAATAAAAAGTGAGGGCTTTGAGGGTTTAATTCGTGATGTTGAGGACTGTGCTTGGGTGTGTGTCTGAGGTGTGATTGTTGTTTTTTCTGGGAGTTTCTTCCCCTGGGGTTCAGGGAGCACATTGACCACGGAGAATACTGGAACGGACATGGAAATGGAGGATATTGATGTGGTGGTAGTGGCTGGTGATCTAAGGGTATCGTAAACAGAACTTGATAAATTTGATCTTAAAGGTGAAGATACAGATTTTAGTGCACTATAGTTTGACGTTAAGCCAGCAGTAAGTGTTTTCTCAGCCTCACTGAAGGCTGCACCAACACTGGCCGTAGCTGCTTGAGTTGTGGCCTGTATCCGTTCTTGTAAGCTGTAAACCCCTCCTGTAAACAGACGGGAAGATGCAGAGGAGGGTGAGGGGTATTTTATCGGTGAAATGGATCCGTTTAACAGGACTGTTTCAGTACTGGATATTGTAGACTTAGCTGATGAAGAAAGCGATGATAGAATTGTACCCCTAGATGCATCTGTGGTTGTTTTAATAGAGGACAGGCTTGTTATGTTTCGAATGGGATAGGACGCTGCTATACTTGTGGGGGCCAGGGTGGATTTGAATGACAAAGACGTGTATGCATTTGTGGTTGACTTTATAGAATCAGCTTGCGTCACTGTGGTGAAAGTTCTGTCTAGCATGGATCCAGGTGATGAAATCAAGTTAGCTCTTGAGGACAATGAAGCAGCGAGCCCCTTAATGAACACCGGATCTGTGCCAGATTTACCCGGAGAAGACAGGAGACTGGAGGAAATTTGAACTTGGTTTTGAGGTTGCTGAACCACAGTCTTTATTGGAGATGACATAGATCTGTATGTTCTAATGGGTGATGCTACATCGCTAACTGATTTTGCAGGAGAAGCATTCGATGTTCCTAGGGTGGACTTGATTGGAGAAGCAGAGGAAATGGACCACACAGACTTTAGTGGCGAAGCAGATGGCGTGTTGGAAGGTGAACTGGAGAGGGAACCCAGTCCACATTTTGTTTGCCCAGGGACGGTAATAGGAGCAGTCGACCATGCCTGGTAAGATCTTGTTGAAAAGACAGGTTTGTGAGCGTAACCAGCAGGCAGTGTTCTTGTTGTACTTCGTTCAACTGTTTCTTTAAACAGACAAATGAAAATCCAACATAAAGTCAACAAAAAATGGTGGAAAAACAGAGAGACCAGAAGGAAAAAATTGGTCAGTGGTGATTGTCTTATAAGGAGTAGAGCAGCAGTTTTATGATGTGAAATGTAACTGAAGATGAGGATGGTGCCAAAATAAAGATGATCCAAAGAGTTTCATGGCCCACAAAGGGTTCACAAAACAAAAATGAACAAAGCGCATACACACAAAAGTATGACAAAAACGATGAACCACAAAACGTAAAATGGCAAGACAAATGCACAGGACCAGAGTAAAACAATTTCACTTTTGACTTTTGATGTGCTAAATTTTCCTGTGACTGACTACCTTAATTTGCTACAGTGCCTTTTATCTGTTTGGTTTAGAAAAAAAATACAGATCCTTCCCAAATCTGTGTATTTTGACAAAAACAGAAGACTCCAAAACAAAAAGCATCCTTGTTCCTATGCTACAGCAAAACATATTATGACAAATGCAGGCTAAATAACTACAATTTAAAGTTCATAATATCGCTTACATCATGCAGATCTGAGTAACCTTAGTGACAGGCAATTCAGTGCAAACTGTGAAAGCACCCGAGAGAATCTACCTGTGAGTTTTCATGCATTTCCTTCAAAAATGCATTAAATAATTATGCACAATCACAAAGCCAAAAAAGGAAATGATTTTTTACTTTGATGCCATAGTGCATAAAGTTTAGCAAGTCACTCAAAGTAAAATTTTATGACAGTTACAAAATATTATTCTTGCTAGTATGGGTAAAAATGAACTAATAGGGTAAATAACATCTCATAAGCATAGGGCAAGCACGGCACACCAACTGAAATTCCAAATTTTACATGCAAACCAAACTTTACAAAAAACAAAAACAAAAAAAAACAAGCATGTGAACTCTGTTCATGTATGGTAAAAATGTGCAGATAAAACAATGTTTATGCCAGTTAATATATCATAGATGGTCACAGTAAGTCATATGTTAGCTTAAATCACTTCCAAGAATTTGGTTCTCAATATAAGTTCATATATTAGTGAAAACATCACACTCACTCGTTCCAGGCTCGGTCAGATAGCTGTAGCGCTTACGTAATGCTAGAGATGCAAAGGTATGACGTCGTTCTGGCTTTTCAGTCTGTAACAACAACAAAAAGAATCCTATTAGTTTTCTCATAATCAACCCTGCTTAAAGTTTAGCTAACTCCCTTATTGTTCTTTCCTTTAGAAAAAGCATTATGACTATAATATAGGAACAATGATTTGGAAAGTTTGTTTTATAGTTTTCTTTATATTACTGTACTCTTTACATTGGGCTGGCCTATATAGCCTCTATTCACATCAAAGGAAATCAATGCTACATTGACTTCCTTCAATTCATTCTAAAGGCCATGAAACAAAAAAAATAACTACAATCGACTGGGTCAGTGAGATCCTAGGCACAGATGACCAGTACATTGTTACGCAATATTAACATATTAGTTTTTCTCCTCTAAATTAAATTTGATATGCTTTGATATGTGATCCACCTAAGTCTTGACAGTGTAGGCAACAGTACTTGGTGCATGGATGAGTAAAAAAAATCAGCTTGCAGAAAGTTGCAGCAGCATGCTGTATATGTACTATATGTGTACCCAAGTTAAAGCCGTCTTAAACGAACAAATAACCCAGAGCTAAAGCAACTAGCACACCACATGGAAATGAGGGGACAGCACTATTACCTCTTCCTCAGGATCTGAATCCACATCCTTTTGGTTCCCAAGATGCATTGCAGAAACAGAGGGGATAACGTAATGAAGAGCAGGGGGAAAGAAACATCAGGATGTGAAAAAGGCGATTGAGAGCACACTAAGTAAAAGTTACCGCAAAGCCACAGTGAAGGAACATAAAGTGGTAAAAAAGAAAAAGAAAAAGAGAAACAAAGCACAGAGCCACAACCACAGAAGCTGTTGAAATAAGCACAAGCCTGTGCACCTTCAGCCAAAGCAAGATCCAAATCAAAAGTGTGATTTGGGTCAGCCACAACAACAACAACTTGAAAAAAGCTTGAAACAGATAAAAGACACACTCAAGCAGTTTGAGCCAAGTTTGACCCTTAATGACTAGGAACACTGCTCTATCTTTCCTGAGTATGAAGATGGCATGATATGACGCAGATGATCAGAGTTCAGCCTTACCTTCTTGAGTCCTGGCAGTGTGATGTTTAAATTACAGATAGCAGTCTGAGCGAGACCCTTGGAAATTTTGGGCTCTCTGAGGAAGGACAAGCGGCCACATGGCTCTTGGCTGCTGTCTCTGACCTGCAGATGACAAACATATGTTACTGCAAACGAATTAGTTCTTAGGTCTGACTTGCCCAGAATTTGCTGGATAATAGCTTGTAGAGAAGCAGCCCATCTGAAAGCTGGAAAATACACAAGAATGCTAAAGTGAAAAGTCACAACATGCGAGGAGCTACATGTTTCTCATTACCTTCTGATAGCTCAGGGTCTAACAGAGATTTATGCTGATTTTAATAACAAAACAATTTGGCAGGCAGAATGTATTACTAATGTATCTAATTGTCATGAAAATGCTAGAAGAAAAAACAATCTACCTTCACACAGAACGGCAGTCTGTTTTCTTTGAAAGCATAGAAGTTAAAAACCAGCTGCTGTCCGGCTTTGGTCAGAGGGGTCAAATTGCCATAGCAGTCCACATAGATGGGCTTCCCTTCCAGCACCTTTAAAACAGCCAGTCGTGTCATGCAAACCACATTTTATAAAAATGTTAATGTGCAAAAATCCTAATAATATCTCATAAAATACTCATTTATCTCATAAAATTCTCATTTTAAATTTTTCATATAAATAAACAAATAAATAAATAAAAACGGATCATGCACCTCAATGTCTTTGCTTCTGGCCACCTCCTCAAAGTTCTCCTGCTGTTCCAGGGTTTTGTCCACTTTATCGTCTGTCATACAGAAGCACCGCAGGCTGGACTCCACAGAGTCATTCATTTTAGCAAACACTACAAATTTGGCCATGTAGGGCACACAGATGAGTTCTCTGTAGAGCTGGGTGGCCAAACCTACAGTCTCTGGGGTCTGATGGCAGTCTGCAAGCCAAAACCTGGACACAAATTGAACAGTCACAAAGCTGAAAATGTGAGATTTTGATAATACGCCTTAATATTTTCTAGAATTAGATCTGAGGTATTGAAAAATTGTTTTAGGCAGTTAAGAGGATTTTATGAGAGAGAAGTTTCTAAGTTGTTCTTGTACCTGGCAGATACGTTTGTGGTGAAGGACACACAGTCATTCATAAAGGTGAGAGGTGTAGTCCCAGTGATGTCCTCCCACTGAGCCGGCGATGTGCCACCTGTCACGAGATGCTTTATTAAAATGATTTCTACATTTTCTTAAGAAAATCTGAGTGCTCAAATAGAGATCAAACAGAGATGCACTGGTTGACCGGCTGTCAATTTGTTGTTTTTGTTTTTTGCAGGTATGTTTTATGTAGCATAGTTTCACAAAGCTAAATTCAGAAACTTCATATAGTTTTTGTTTTAAATGCCATATTATACAATCTTATTGAAATCAAAAACAACTGCTCATACTACATGAATGTAGCATCTTTGTTTGGATTGCTATTAAAATGCAGTGATTTCCTCTAAATTTAAATGGCTAGACATTTCTGTTTAGGGCCAGTTTGGATTGAAATAGAGCAAATAAACATTTTGATCTTGTACTCTTTTATTAAAAAAAACTGCAGTCGGTATCGGAATTGGCCTGCTTGCTCGTAAAAAATCTTAATCGGCCATTAAAAATTATAATCAGTGCATCCTTAGAGACAAATACTGTAATAGAGAAGTTATGAGTTAAAGCCCGTCCACACCAAGGACTATATCTATAATGCTTACTATAAAGTTTTCAGAATTGTTATAATTCTGTGAGAGATGTCCAAACCACAACTATACAATATCATTGGAATCATTTTCTGAACATCGACAACCAATCAGAATCCACCTTTAAAGAGCTCGAGCATTTAACGCAAAGCGATGACATAACTGCTGCGTGCGATTATGACAAACAGAACGATATTGCGTGTTGGTGTGGACGCTAATAAAGTTATCATTTTAGTTATCATTCTTCTTGTTGTTATCAGTTGTTATCATCCCTTATTATCAGCAATAGAGCAATAGAGTGATGATTGCAAACACCACTATAGTGAAATAGAAGTTTGACAAACTGTTAAAAAGATTTTATATTTTATTATACATAGTTATTCTCTAAAAGTCAATCCTACCAGTTATACTGCAGAGTAGGCGCAGGCTTGGTGTTGGGTCTCCTTTGTAGCCATTCACCACACCCTCTCCAGACAGCGGAGGCACAGGTATGGTCATAGTAATGGGCTTATGGAACTTCCTCCTGCGAGGCTCCACTGTCACTATAGGGCTGAAGGTGGCACGATTTCCTATGATCTTCTTCACAGCTTCATCCGGAACAGGCTGGGCCTGTTAAAGAGAAAGCAAGATCATTTAAGTGAAACATCTACACAATGAGCTCTATTAAAGTGTGCAATTTCTGACCGCTAGCATCAGCAAATGGGAAAATCATGCATTTCCAAATAATCCCAAATATGTCCAGCCCTAAACTCACATCATTGGTTGAGCTAGTGTTATTATATCAGATTGTGTTAGGATGCTTAAACAATCAATGTTTGATAGAGTCAGAGTGTTACAGTTTTCAAAGGAATCAACCTACAATTGGCTTACAGTACACTTTAATGAAAAAAAAGTTAAAATAAAGAAACTTTTTCCATTATAAAGAACCTTTTCTGGAATGGTAAGGTTCCATGGATGTTAAAGGCTCTTCATGGAACCATAGATGCCGAGATACTGAGACTTGCTACTGCCAATACATCCACAACATGCTGCTGTGAGCATGTAAGAAATACTGCTGCTGCACATATAACACAGGCCTGGGCGATAAAACGGTATCGATATTTATCGACGGTACTCCTTCATCGATAATGATAGAAAAAATATTTGATATAGCGCACGATATAGGCACATGCTATGAGGGACGCAGACAGCAGACAGCACACACAAACACGAACATGAGTGCTGTGCCTGCCTGTGATGAGGAGATTGTGAATAAAAAAAAATCAATATTAGTCGAATTTAAAATAAAAAAAAATTGCATTTGAATGCAAAAATGGTTATGCACGTGGACGTGGACGTTATGCATGTTTTTTATGGACAGTTATTTCATTGCACTGACAATTTAATACGCTGCATTGTTTTGCTCATTGCGCCCTCCTGTGGCCTCGAGAGACAAGCCAACATTTTCCATAAGACTTATTTAATCTGCATATAACACATAAGAAAGGAGATATTGATATTTGTTTAAATTTTATTTTGTGTTTGACTGTTAAAACAAAAAAAATGTTGTTTGTCTCAATCAATTGGGTAAATTAAAAACAAAACAAAAACTATATTGTGCTTTGTTTTAAAAAAGGTTATGAAAATGTCAATAACTGTTGATACCGAACGATATGAAACATTATTTCATTGATAAATTTTTTTAGCTATATCGCCCAGCCCTAATATAACATATATGAATAAGCCCCATAGCATACATGACTACCCCGTAGCAGATATATACCGGTGGAGCTGGGGAAGGTGGGGGGTTTCTCAAGCGCGCTGCTACTACTGCAGCAAGAACTAGCCAAGTATTTGAATGTTGATCAGTGAGCTCACTGGCTACCGATACAGGAGAGAACCAATTAGCTGTGCCATGTGATAATAGGGCCTTTCGCACCGCGGGAAACTTTTCATAGTACCAGAACTAATTGTGGAACTACCCACTTTTTGGCGTTTTCGCACCACCGAAACTGGGCACAATTTTAGTACCGGACTGCCTTTTTCGAGAACCAAATTAGCTCCTACTCCGGAGCAGGATCTAACCAGCACAACTGGTACTAATCGTGACGTAAGTAGACATTGATTGGCCAAACGCATATGAAAACCCCCTCCCCCGCCATGATTTAAAACGCCGTGTAAACATTGTGTCAACTTATTTCGCAAGTATAGAGAACAGCGATAGATGGACGGACGCTGAAGTGGAGGCACTTGTAGCAAATGTAGCGCTGCCAGTTGTCGTTGGCGATTCTTAGTCCTCCTTTCCGTTCTTTCAATCGCTTTACGTATACGTCGACTTTCCATGTCCATTATTGTGAAACCCGCGAGACGCAACAAAAACACAGCTCCGATCACAGCGTCCTCCATCCTCCTGTTGTTAATGTTGTTCTTCTTTGTTTCTGTTGTTGAACGCCTCGCACAAATGACGTCGCTGTCGACCGGCTTACGTCACTTCCTAGTACACACTCTCGGTGCGAATGCAACCCTTTAAATAGTACTGGGAAATAGTTTGCGCAAAATAGTCCCAGTACTTTAGTACTGTACATTTAGTTCTGGAACTAAAGCGATGCGTAAGGCCCTCATGACGTAATTATGTCAGATTGAGTTAGACCTATAGGACTAGAGTTTCATGCCAGAACTTTGGATATACAGGTGCATCTCAATGAATTAGAATGTCATGGAAAAGTTAATTTATTTCAGTAATTTAAATCTTGTGATATTTCAACTTGAATACACCGTAACAGTAATAGTGAGATAACATTAAAATAGATGAACAGATGTTTAAGACCAAGACAGGGCTTGATTAAGGAAATTTGTAAATTTGGCAAAAAAATGCCCTTTTGAGACAAGCAAAACACCTAAATAGAGCAAAACAATCCTAAAATTAAGCAAAACAATTGCCAGTGGGATAAAATAATTTAAGAATTCTTTAAACAAGCACTACAGTATATCTAGCCAATGGAAATATGTATTGACCATAAAACTAATCAGAAATGCTTATAAAATGATCAATCATTAAGCAACCTTCATCTTACAGGCTCTCAGAGATGAATTGTCCCATGCTGTGACAAAGACACACTCACAAACAAATTTCAGAGAGAAAATCAGAGAAGAAGAAGTGATCTGGAATCATTCCATGCACCTGGTGAGAAGTTAGTGAGGTACACAATGTTGGTCGGATATTTAGCCATTGTATTAACCAAGACAGTTACAATTAGTTTACAGTAAAGGATCAGAATTAAAAAAAAATGTTAACATGTTACATTGTAAATCTTTTATTTGTATTTGTATTGCTAAAACTTAAAAATTTGAACATTATAGTATATACTGTAGAATAAAAAAACAATGATATACATGTGTACAGTAGGTCTTATGACTCGTGAAGATGTTATCAAATAGTGATCTCTACTGATATATTGGCCTGGACTGCGTTTCCCTAGAAGTTGAGTTGAGAACAGCAACACAAACACAGGGAGGATAAACTGTGATCACATGATCAACCGTCACCTGTTGTCATACTGAAGGGGTGAGGGAGAAACGCTGCAAAGAAACAAGTGGAAATAGGGAATATGGAAAAACTTTAATATTAGCACTAACACATTGTAATGTGATTTTAAAACACTGAAATGCAAGAAAAGAACTCAATTCGGCACTCGTGTGATGTGCAAATGTCCAAAGCACATTCACAAAAAGCCGCCTTTCATACAGCGTGCAAATACTGAATTGAGTTCTCTTTCGCATCTTCTTGCACTTGACTTCACAAATGACCACAAAATTATATCACAATATGTGACCCTGGACCACAAAACCAGTCATTAGGGTCAATTTCTCGAAACTGAGATTTATACAACACCTGAAAGCTGAACAAATAAGCTTTCCGTTGATGTGTGGTTTGTTAGGATAGGACAATATTTGGCCGAGATACAACTATTTGAAAATCTGGAATCTGAGGGTGCAAAAAAAAAATCTAAATACTGAGAAAATCGCCTTTAAAGTTGTCCAAATGAAGTTCTTAGCAATGCATATTACTAATCAAAATTTAAGTTTTGATATATTTACGTTAGGAAATTTACAAAATATCTTAATGGAACATGATCTTTACTTAATAATCCTAATGATTTTTGGCATAAAAGACCTCCATACGTCATCCGCCCGGAACTGCTTCCAGTGTACAACAGTGAGCGCAAGCTACATCAAAGTGATTATTACATTTTGAATATGGATATTTTTCTTACAAAAATGCATCGATTCGTACAGAAGGCCTTTGTTCACCCCCCAGAGCCGTGTGAGACACTTTTTTTTTATGGATGGGCGCATTTTAATTAAGTGCTTTTGGGCTGATGCATGCAACACCCGCTGAGTGCAATGAAACAGCTTGAAAGATCAAAGACAATTTTTTATATAACTCCGACTGGATTCGTCTGAAAGAAGAAAGTCATATACACCTATGATGACTTGAGGGTGAGTAATTTATGGGCTAATTTTCATTTTTGGATGAACTAACCCTTTAAGACTGGTTTTGTGGTCCAGGGTCACATATCCTCGTAAACACAGTCGGTTTTGTCTGAAGTGATGTAAACAGTGTCACAGTGTCTGGTTGTGGTGCCCTGGACTGGCCACTTGAGGGTGCTCTTCCTGTTTCTGTGTTACATGTTTTGAACTCCGTTTCCCATAGTCCTTTGCTTTGTCGTTTTGTTCTGATCATTATCACCTGTTGGCAATTTACTCATCATTTCATAACTACTTATACCATGCTCTCACTGTCCGTCTTTGCTGCAGTATTGTTTGAGTTACGTCGTGTTTTCTGTTCCCTGTGTTTTGAATTTACCTTTTGCCTAGTTTTTGTTCTGTTTTGGATTATTTGTTATTTTAATAAACTTACTGCACTTGGATCTAATTTTGTTTTCTCCTGGCATTCCGTGACAAACAGTTGAGAAAGAAAAGGCATGTGTAACAGTAAATTAGAACTGTGCTTTAGGTCTTAAAGTGATAGCAGCACAAAGGCAACACAGAATCTGAAAACTCAAGGAAAAAGAGGGCGTACCGTGTCCTTGTTTGGCGCCAGGATCTCTTCAATCATCATGCTGTCACGGGCGAAGGAGCTCCGGTTGAGTGTGTTGGACCTATCCGAACTGAAGGAGCGCAGACTGTTGGCATTTACATTAATACCATACAGTGCGGGGGAGTGACAGTGAAATACACACAAAACACACACACACACACACACAAAACAAAAACACTCATTAATGCATGCAACTTCCAGGGAAATTGATGCACAATAGCCAAAACAGGGATCAAACCCTGTACATTTGTAGTGGTGTGATTGGTTAGACATTGAGAGAAAAGAGGAGAATAGATGCTTAGATTAATTATTTGTAATGACTGAATGAATGAGACACAAATGTGTGCCAGACTGTTTTTCAAAACTATGCAATTGGTACTTTGTTAAACCCCATTGTTAGTAACACATTATTAGACTTTTGCACTTTTATAAAGTAAATATATAAGGAGGATATGTGTGTTTTGATAAAATGGAGATTTATAGAAATTAACCAAAAATATGAAAACATTTTATTGCCAAAGGACTTGTAATAGTTGAAGAGAATAAACATGGCACTTCTTACCTTTCCAAATCTTTAAATACATGCAGAACACCAGTAAGAACATCTATATTTACTTCAAATTAAATACTTATAACCTAAATCTATATTTGCTTCAAATTAAATATGTATAACCTAACATGATTTCATTTATGCATTGATTAGCCACTGTGGTAGAAATGCACAGATTTGAAAAATTCTATCCAATACAATAAGTTGATCATATTAATAATAAGTCTATAACGTTGGCTGATTATCTAACAATTTTATGATTTTGTATAGATAAAAATAAAGCACTTTAAAATACTTTTCAATATTTCAAGTGAATTTAGGCATCAGCATTATAAAGTACGATAAAGATATAGATTTCCTAAAAGTGTTATTAATTAATTAAATTTAAATAATTAAATTATTAGCATTTTTAAAGATCAACTTTAGATAATGGTAAAAGTAATCTAAATGTAAAAATAAAGGGAAATAATAATGCAACGCCATTGAAATATATCCAAAATCAGCCAATAGTGATAAACTGAAAGATTATAATGCTGTGCACCATTGAAATGCATTCCAGCATATAAGAATATTACATAAGAATAATATACAGTACATTTTTTTACTGCTCTTTGAGCACATTTAACAAAAAATAAATAAAAAATCACTCTGTTAATCGAAAACCTACCATTCATATGAGACATTCTCTAAAGCTGTTTGAGAGTAACAGTAAATAATGGAGCGGAGCTAGCAAATGGACAATTATATAAAACTGTACTGAAGCTAAAACAGATCTGGAAGTTGTTTATTGTATCTTGACTTCATTTCTATTTGCAGTAAGGTCAGGTGCATTAATGCAGACTGAGCTAACATGCGAGTGCTCTTTCCAAAGACTGTGCCCAATCAGAAATCAATATGACGCGGGTTCTCAGTTCACAACAAAATCTGGCACTGCCTGACTGCCAAAGGAGAATCTGTTTCTTGTGAGCATGTACTGTGAGTTTCTGAGTTTGCAGATTTAAATGGATGAAATTTGATTCAGCTGATGAGGCTCTTCATGCATCCCTGGAAGCTACATTAAGAAACTATTTTGTACAGTAACTGGACTCAAGGGGACAAAAACTCAAATGTTCACGACAATCAAACCTGAAAAGAAAAAGAAAAACTCGACAAATCAGGTTCACACACCAAACCTAAAATCGAAATGAAACCATAGTCCACAGACAGCAAGAATGTGTATACTTCATCAAATGAAAAACAATGTACAAAGCACGGTACACAACAATGTTCCATGGTTTCAGAATGACTCGGGATATAGGATGGAAAGGGTCGGAAGCATCATGCCCTCTTACCTGACTTTAGGACTATGGTGATTGTTTGGAATGGAAGCGGAAGAACAGAGGAAATTGAAGGCAACAAATCAGAAATGCAGTGGCTGAATGAGTCCGACTCTCATGTCTGGGGCTGCATTGTACTGTACTCTAACACACACTAATTAACTGAGGCTTTACTCCTCTTTTACTCTTTAATCCATTAGGACGTGATATTTCGCATATGTAACGAAAAGAACACAGACAGGATGCCCTAAACACGAAAGAAGTTATTACGAAGTATGTCTATATCTCAAGCGATTCTCTGTATGACAACTGAACATCACTTCCCCAACACTTGTGCCTTTATGATCATACAGTTATGTTTATGGTGCTGCTACATTTGTTATTCCTTGCAAAACTCCAGGTCCTGTGTCAGAATCCCATGACTCCCATGAGATGAGTAAATGCAATGTGCTGTATCTCATTTCACACCCGAAGAGAGCGTTTCTTAAAGGAACAGACACAAAGAACGGACAATTTATTTCATAAAGCATTTATACAATATATATATATATATAGCCGATAGTGATAGGCTGATAATTATCTAATTCTCTTCTAGCTACTTATACTACTTTACTTTAATTTATAATACTTTTTCTCTAAAAATCAAAATATAAAAACACTAAAAACTACAATAAATAATTTTCTAAATGAAAAAAAAAAATAGGAAAAATAATAGCAAGATATCAAAAAATGTTAACATTTTGATTAGTCAATGGCCATGATTCATTAAATATAGGCATTTAATATTGGGCAATAATTATCCAATACTGGACTATGCTAATAAATGAATAATAAATAAAGACATAATATATCATAAATAATAAAACATAATAATAAATGAAAAATATCAGTCAAAAAACAATATGATGAATGCCTAAAACATGGTATGACCTCTTTAAAGAATAAAGCAAAAAAAGAGTCACGTGGCAACATATGACATCCAAATCCAAGCATTTCTATCACCTGATTCTTGTTTTCACTGAGACATAATTTACTTTCAAAACATAAAATCCGCTTTTACACCATAATGTCAAGTCATTAGATAAAAAGTGTCCTCTCAGTGACAAATGCTGTTATTGAACATGATTGTGATTTCCTGTTTTGTGGCTTGCGTGTACAGTACTGTCAAATCTCACTCAACCCTTTCGATTAATGAATGCGGTCAAACTTCTGTTTGTTGGAGGGAAAATCCCCTGAAGCGAGTTACATGTAGGTTAGCTACGGCCTTCTCACTCAACAGCACATGGTACTGAATCAAAATAAAGAGTAAATAAAGAGTGTACAGCCTCCAGATAGGACAGGAATCAGGAACTAACAGCTGGCTGCTGCGGCCATGAATACTCTCCATTCAGAAACCAGATCTTTCAGATGATAGTTATTGTGAGCGAATATTCTTCAAGACATCTAATTTAGTTTTACAAGGGAAAAAACAGTCACATGGGTCAGGAACAACATGAGGACAAGCACAATTTGGGTGAACTGTCCCTTTAAATGGTCTAACATCTTCTCTTATCTTATGTGGTCTGTTAACCTGGTCCAACAGTCCAGATATTGTGAAACGCTGTCGTCCAAATACTTAATATATGTTTATTAATCCTAAACTATATGAGTAGTACTGATACTTACGTACAGCATGATTCCTATAGATGTACTGATGTTAAGAGTATGACTCAATTGTCAAAACTTCATGACTCAGAACTTGTGGGGTTTGAACCTAAAACCTTTTACAATTAAAAATATTTAGACCTAAATTTATGTATTTAAATTGCATATCAAATTTCCATAATTTCTATTACAAGAAAGGAAATAATAAACTGTGTGATGCATATTTGTCAATCTGCACTCACAATAAATAAATAAATAAATACATAAAACAATCAGTTTATTATTAACTATTTGCATTCATTTGATTTTATTAATTGAATTTTCAAAATAAATTGATTTGGGTTTTAATTGTTAAAACAATTACATTTATTCAGTAAAAAAAGCATGAATGTGATTAAAATATGGCTAACAAGAAATATTTAATTAGTTAAAATGGATGAGATTTAAATAAATTGATTTATTCATGCTAAAAATATAAACCTGGTTATTGTGTATTTAAAACAAATTCATTTTATTATTATTATTAATTAAATCCTACCTGTTTTATTCATGTAAGACTGACAGATAAGCATCACATTAAGTTAATATTTGTTAAAAACAATATAATTCTAATGGATGGAAAAATTATATGCAATTCAAATACATAAATCATAACTTTAGGCCTGAATATTTTTTGAGCGCTGTAGCACCTACAGCTCTACATGGAGTATATCATGCTGAAAACAGTTAATTTCCACTGTTTAGACGTCACTGTCTGCATGTGGTGAGGTAATTCTAATGGATGGAAAAATTATATGCAATTCAAATACATAAATCATAACTTTAGGCCTGAATATTTATGGAGTATATCATGCTGAAAACAGTTAATTTCCACTGTTTAGACGTCACTGTCTGCATGTGGTGAGGGTATGTTACCTGGCCGTTCGGGCTCCGACGCTGAATCCCACGTATCCTTCCTGAGGGAGAGAGTCGTCTCCGAGCTCTCGCAGGTCTTGCGGTCCCAGGTACTTGTCCGTGTCTCCTGTCATCGCATCCTCACCTGTCAGCAAAAGAAAGAATTACTACACCCTTCTGAGAGACACTGACCCTATAAAGTCAACATGAATGACATTCAAAACCCATTTAACTTCTGTCATGTTTTCCATTTTTCTTTGGAAAAATGTGCACCAATGAATCATGGGGAGTGAGACGAAGTAAATGGGGTACATTTTGATGTCATGTTGGCGTTAAGAATGAATGGCTGGACCAAAATGCCCCACACCAATCCCACAATCCCGCAACAGTCACTGGCACACTTCCCGAACTCTTTCATAGCTGCAGATTCATGCGATTTTTGTTTCGATTATATTATTATAAGTCAAGCAAGGGACTTAGAGAACATCAAGACCATATGTTGCAGCTCGCTCGTGGTGACCATAAATCTGTTTTTAATATGCATCCCTGACAAGATGGATTCAAACAGGCCATCCATCCTCAGAAGCTGCAGTTAAAGGACACTACAGCAGAGCAGCAGTGAAGTGGGTCGCAGAAGCAGAGAGAGGAAGACTAGAATGCAGAGAGAGGAAGAGGAAGGCTACGGTCGCGTTGCAAGAAAAAGCCCCCAATTATGATTTTATGAATTGTGAGGAGAATTTTCACATGACCTACATGCTAATACTAATACTTATAATCTATGAATATATATTAATCATTTCTAATAAATATAGTATAAATATAAATATATGTGAACATATTTACATTTATATAAACATATTTTACATAAGATTACAAGATTTATATTAAACATATATTAAAGAAAAAAATATTTATATGTTTCTGTATAATACATAATAAAACTAATAAATTATCTGATCTAAAGGCATCTATAATAGTATAATACAAAAAGACCATTTCAATACAATATACAAATAACGGCAAGAAATATGACCAATCATAATTCAGCATGCAAATAGGTCATGTCATCCCATTTTGTACACTGACAAAAATTTCGCAAACAATTACAAAGAAAGGGCAAGTAACACATTGAATTAAAAGTGACATTTTGTAGTAGAAAAACTAATATTGTAAAATAGAACACTCTTGCAAAACCCTACACCAATAATCTTGTTTTTTTACAACTTCAAAAAAACATTTACAGTATATACCTAATATAGCAAAAATGACAATTTAATCCTAAATTTCTTTAAAAAAACATTTAGTTAAAAAAGAAAGAAAAAAAGAGTATAAAAGTATAAACAATATAACAGTAAAATTACACTGTAAAAAAAATTAATCTCACCCATTAAAATGTATTTGTATGTAAAAATCGATGTATATACTGTAGCTTGGTTCAGTTAAATAGTAATTTTAAATAATATTTTTGACCAGTTAATTTACATGTTACCAATTTTTTGAACTTCATAGCTTAAATTATACACAAACCAAAAAAAGTCTGAATGTCTGTTTGTTCTTTTGAACGTTAAATTAAATTAAATTCATAAACATTTAAGGTTAAAGATTTAGAACAAACTCTAGCAAGAATGTATGATCAGTGTTGAATCAGATTTATTTCCACTTTTGGAAGTGGCCCAGAATCAACATAATTAGTTTTCTGTTCACACTGTCATTCACAAAACAGCTCCGTCACATAATGTTTACATAAAAAACATAATTGGGCCACATTCAACTATGCTGTGAATGCAGGTTAGGAGAGAGATTGGGGAACACAGCATTTCACCATCGACACCCCCCCCTCCACTCCACTGCTATTCACCCAGGCAACCACCTCCCCCCAAAATCAGCCCCAATGAACTGCAACTTTCACTCTCTTTCAAGCAAACACACACACTGATTAAATTGTGAAATGTCCGAAAAAGAAACCCAAATCCGTTCTGCCTCTTACACAATAAAGCAATTCACTAGCACCCTGAACACTACCACAAGTTAACAGGTCAGCAAAACTTTTCTAACAAGTGGTGAGTGAACACAGCACACAAGATCATTAGAAATTTTACAGCCTTAAAAAGAACATTTACTTTAATTATGGATGTCCCGAAAAAGTTAAAGCAAACTTCTGGTCACAGTTTTGTAAGTAAACTTAAACTTATTTCGGCTTCCCTACCACTTCCAAAACTATTGTATAGTGTGTTTTTGGACAGCGTGATCGAATCAGTAACAGCCATTCGTGATAAACAAGATCTCTTACACTGAACAGCCAAATCCATCCTTCATCTTCACACCAGCTTTAAAAATATTTACAGGTCCTCTTTTACTCCCAGAAGCCTCACTTCCTCAATCCGGTAAACTCCAAACGGCACGATTACTTCCACATGTCCACTACGGCCCTGTCCACAGTGTCTGAAACGATCCAGTTGCCTCTCTCTGTGCACGCACACACACAAACACACCCCTCTGCCACGGCCTGACAGGACGTTCAAACGGCAAGGGGCCGGCGCGAGTCTGATCTGTGTGAGGTCATCGCGGGAGCGAGGTAACACTTGAGGCAGTTTCAGAGCGAGTGTGGTGATCGGATCTCGGCATTCCTCATGCCCCAGGAGCCTCCAGCTGGGGTGGGACACAATAGAAGTGGAAAGGGGCGTATTTCTATGGTAATTTGTGCTGGTGGTGAGGTGCTCTGTGTAATCAGACCCTGTTCAACAGAGGGACAACAAAAGAGCCCTTTTACAGGCAGCAGAACAAATAGTAAAAAAGGAGGGAGACCAACGGAAAAAGACCGCCTGCCACCTGACCGCGGCCCCCTGGGAACAGCGTGCTTGAGCTGCCAGAGTACAAACTCCAGGAACTCACAATCCTGAATCACTGAACACATTGCGACACCTGTTAATAATCCCTGCACTTTTAAAGTTGGCATGAAATGAAAAATCACTATTTTCGAAATGCATATTATAGAGATTATTGTAAAAATTCATTTGTGCATAGGTTACATTTTTATATTTATTTATTTATTTTACCTCAGAATGTATAAGTCGTCACAACTGGACATTCCAGTATCTTCCCTCCACTTTTGAGTGCCATGCCCACATCTCAAAATCCAATCAACAACCGATAAATAGAAACAAGTTATATATATGACTCAATGATATAAATGACTCATTCATTCAAGTTCCCACCCTACAATTTTTGTCTTTATAATCCATTACACTTTGATGTACGTCAAAATATGGAAGATCTGTCAATACTTTTGTTTCATTGCAAATTTAACATGTTACAGTAGAATACAAATTTTAGAGATTTGCAGAAAAATGCAGATCAGCAACTCATCTGATCTAGTTTGAAACCATTTTATCTTATTTTATAGTGTTATTTTAATACCCTTGCAGGTTGCATGCAAAAACCAACGAGCATGACCAGGGTATTCTGATTTTTCTGAATCAGAGAAAAAGACTCAAAAAATCAGGTGAACCCAGAATACAGTAAGAACACAAGGCACAATTTCATGTTAAGCATTTTTCACAGAAAAGTGATTGAAATAGTAATCGTAGGTGCTGTATATGGATTGCAAGTGCCCAAAACGTGCAGTTTGTTCAGATATCGTTGTCTTTCTTCTTTTGAGATGTGATCTAAATATTCAAGGCTTGAAACGACTCGTTTGGACTACAACGCATATTTTCCGGGATTTGTGATATCACATATATCGACGAATGGGACGAGACCTGGTTGAGCTGCACTAGAGAAGGCAACGAGTGTTATCACTATGTCGGAGACACGATAGTTTCCCCAACGCAGACGAACTTAGAGTGGTTACAATCATCCGGGTTTAAATCTCACTCAAATTTATTTGATTTTGAACCACTTTTTTTTTACACTGAAGCTCGCAGGGGGTTATGGTAAGGGGCGTGACATTTCCCGACCAGGTGCCAAATGGGGCCAATCACAACACACACTGGCCCAGCTAACCAATCACAGCACATTTCGTATTTCAGAAGGCGGGCCTTCATTTGATACAGGAACTATTCGAGCTGTTCATGCCAGACTGGGGAGAGAGGTGTTGTAATAATGTAAAATATGTGAAAAATAATATGTTTTTCGAACAACCTAGTATGAGAGTCTGTTCTAGTACACCCCCAAAACAAAATCAAGACTTTGTAAAAGAGCGTAATAGGACTCTATAATGCTAAAGCTTCTCAAACACCTTGACTCAAGATTACAGAAAAAAATATTTATAATAGACACTGCAATAACTTGTGCTCAATAAGATCAAGAAAATGTGTATTAACAAAATAAATATGTTCAATTTTGATTTTCTATTGATAGATAAAAGCATGTGCTAAAGAAAACGTAAACATGGACTTTAAATGTAAGATACTGGTGCTGTTTGCCTGGGATCTGAGTTATTAGTACTGCACCTCACGCCCGGATAAACAGAGCTGAGCTCTTTCACACTGCCAGCGAGAGAGCCAGAGAATCAGATGGAAAAAGCGAGCAGCGTCAGCAATGGCAAAATGTTTTTTGCCAAACAGACGTTTGCATTCAGTTACCAACTGCCGTTGTGAGCAGAATTGATTCATCAGTTTTTTTAGTCATCCAGCTAAAAGATAATGAAAAGCAGACACTTTCATTCAGGAAATAAATGACAGAATGTTGAGGTTATATTCATGTGACCATGTGTATTCAGGGCACAGGGGTGTAATATGTACTGAAAACAAGAAGTCATGTGAGTTATGTCAGTTATGCCTCGGGGAGTATGCAGGAATATCAGTTTACCGTAATTAAACGCCATGTTCCAGTCTCTACAACACACACACACACACACACACACACACTGGTTTTATGAGGGCTGTATTCTTGTTACACATAAGCATAAACTATATTCACCACATGTCAGAACTGTTGAAGGTTTCAGACAGCATGTTACGCACAGCTATAAACAACATAATGTGACCAAAATATCACAGAGACTAGAAGGTGGATTCTTTTGATTTGGGCAAGTAAGAAAAGGCACCGCAATGCCCTAGCAACCACATAGCAACACCCTAGCACCCTTTTATAATTTTATCAAGTATTAAATGCATTCATAACCCTCACGTTACAGTATGAAATAAACAGATACACAAACTTGTCATTCATGGCACTGACTGGAAAACTTCTATTCAATCCTTCTAGCTTACACTGAAGCTCTGTGGGTTCTGACTGCAAAACAGAAACAAACCGAGCCAAAGAAACGTCTGTCGGAATATCTAACAGCCAAGACTTCTGAAGAAAACTATCCTTCACATAGAGGCTGGATTTACAAAGAGAGTATGTGTGAAATTGTAATTACACATACAGTTGTTAATAGAATAGCAAACCCCCGATTTAATATATGCAAGCCAACAGAGATTTGCATATTGAAGAATTTCATTTTCATAAAGAGCAGCCTAGCAACTAATACAAAGCCAGCAAGAGATAGCCATGTTGTGAAAAGAATCTATAACAGAAAAAAGACCGAATAAGAATATCTGGTTAGTTGGAAAACGTGAAGAAAGAAAGAAACAAGCAGGTGCTATAAGAACAAACCACACAAAATAAGAGATACCTTCGTCAACATCTGAAATATAGTCCTCACTGAGCATTTCAGGCACATTGGCTCTACGAACTGTGTAATTTAAATGAAAAATGTTAGAAATAATATGTAAATGAACAAAAATAAACTTAAACGAAGATAAAAATAGACCAGAGACATATGAAACCTTGTTTACCTTCATCATCTGACATGTCCAAAAACTCATTCATTGTTTCTGGAACATTCAATTTATGTTTCTCCGTCACTGTCTGCAAAAACACCAAAAAAAAAAAATAATAAGTGATTAGTTGATGTGGCTTCATTTTGCTTTGCATCAAATATAAAGCATGTCTTACATTATTAGCATATAGCATTGTTTTTTCCTGCTATCTGTGACTCTATCAGAACAGACCTGCTACCAACTTTTGTGTGTGTTGCGATCCACTCTCTGAGGACCACTATATTAAAGCACAATAACACCTGGTGTACGGTATTCAGTGGAATAGAAAGTGTTATGATACAAAGTCCCTCACCACAGTAGTGTGCATCTCCTCTGTCACGACTTTGAGTGTGTCAACCACAGAGATGTAACCCAGGCGCCTGGCAATAGCCAAGGCAGTGTTTCCATTCTGCAGGTTAAGGGAAAAAGAGCAATATTAATTAAATGAATGAATGAATAAATAAATAGATGTTTTAGAATATTAAGTAATTATTATGCAATTTATTACATACACAATTTTATATAATATAATATAATATACATAAAATTCTGAAAGGAAAAAAAGGCTAAATCAATGCAGTGGTGACTCTGCTTTAGGATCAGTGTTGAAATCAGTGGAAACCCTGATAATTAGAATTCAAAAGAATGGCATTTATTCAAATTTTTTGTAATATTCCAAATGTCTTAACTCTAACTTTTGATCAATTTAATGTTTCCTTGCTGAATAGAAGTTTTAATTTCTTTACAAAAATACTGACACCAAACCTTTACACTGTAATGTGTGTGTGTGTGTGTGTGTGTTCTGGTATTTCCTATGTCCCCACAAGTATAGTCACACCAGTTTGTTTTTTTAGGTCCCCATGAGGAAACAAGCCAATGAATCATACAAAATTATAATTTTTTTAAATCTAAAAAATGCAGGAAGTTTTGTGGGAGGGGTAGGGTGAGGGCAAGGAGATAGAAAATACAGTCTGTACTGTATGAAAACCATTATGCCCATGGACTGTCCCCATAAAATATGGAAACCCAATTTGTGTGTGAGGTCATTACCTTAGTCTCTGGGTCGATTGTGGCACCATGATTAACCAGCACTTCTGAAACATTGACCTTGTCCTCTTGAGCCGCCAAGTGAAGAGGGGTCAGTCCACTCTGACACAGATATTCATTAACCAATTTAGTAACATAACCAAAGAGATGCGACACATCATGCATAGATGAAGCATCCATTAATCAGCGTAGATAACACTTCTTAAAACGATAGTTCACCCAAAAATGAAAATCCTGTCGTTAATTACTCATCCTCATGTCGTTCCAAACCCGTAAGACATTTGTTCATCTTCGGAACACAAATTAAGATATTTTTGATGAATTCTGAGAGCTCTCAGAATTCATAAAAAATATCTTAATTTGTGTTCTGAAGATGAATGGAGGTCTTACGGGTTTAGAATGACATGAGGATGACAGAATTTTCATTTTTGGGTGAACTATCCCTTTAATAGCTGAGCTGAATACAACCATAATTTGACACTGGTGACCTTGAAGTCAACATGAAATGGCAACCACAACCCATTTTACTTCTGTAATGTGATCATTTCCGTAATGTGTTTAGTTTCATAATGTGACATTTTCAAGCCCAACTGAATATTCAATTAGATAAAAATGTAAACAGAACTTAAATTTTATATATTAGAAATTTATTAGATCACAAAAAATTAAAAGTCAAATTTAAGAGCATCATATTATATATGTATATTAGGGATGCACCGATGTATTATCGATGCACTTTTTGATTATATTTTAAAGCCATCAACATATCGGAAATAGCATGAAAAGGGCAGATACCGATGGTTTATTAATTAACTGCATGGAGACAACGAGTTGCATGCCCGTTGCATAATCCAACATTTTTTCCAAAATAATTAAATACTTACCAAAAAAAAAAAATCTGTATAAAATATAGTTTGTCAGACAGCATAGTACGGCCTATGCAAACGTGACGCTGATGCATCCAACGAGTGAAATGCCCATGCTCAGCTGTAAATTCATCATAGGTAAGTCACATGGCAATGCCCCGGCGTTAGAGTTTATCCGAGGATATGTCACGAACCGCCAAGCATTAGGCCTACATTTAAGTGTAAATGAATGGCCTAACATGCAGCTTTTTGTTTGAAACCGGTGTAGAACACGGATTCACACAAGGTCACATCAAGCACCTGCAGCGTTTCTGTGAACGGAGAAAACAGAATAAAACTATATAGGCTACATAAAAAGGAATATAGGCCTATACACAAAATATATTTAACTTAAATCATTAACAGATTAACAAAACAAAAGAAAAAAAAATTGTGCTGAGCTTCGGATAATTGTAATGCGTTTAGAAGTTCTCTGGGAAAAAAAACGAGATGGCGGAAAGCCGTTTTCTTTATTTTGCAAAAGCTTTACAGTTTTGAATGATGTTTTTCTTCTATCTGTACGACCAACCAGCGTTGGTATGACCATAAATGACCCGTAACAGTAGTGAAAACAATGCAGTGATCGCGTCGGTTCCTCACACGCACATACAACAAATTTTGCTAATTTGACATCGCCGCCTGTTCATTATCAAAATAAACTACAGTTAAAGAAACATAAAAATTTAAGGTCATTGCAAACTGAGTCCGAAATTTTCGTATGCATTTTTTCATATATGTTATCCTAAAAATAGGAATGCTGAATCCCTGACAATTTTCAAATGACAGCTGAAAACTCAGCTCTTTCAACGCTACTTGACTTCATCTTAAATAAAAAAAAAAAAAACTTTGCCTTTCTCTTTATTTATTCCTTCCCTTTCTAGCTTGTACTTATTTGAACAATGCCTGAAACTTGGTATGACAAGCACTTCCTGTGTCTGTTTGCCTCTTTAAGAAGAATCGCTTTATGTATTCTCCAATTGTAAGCATAAGCTTGCCATCCTCGGTGGTTACAGTGGGTGGACTAGAAGTGAAATGACGATAATGATCAAGAATGTGGGGTGGAGGTGGTTTTGTGTGAGCATGTGTGCAGCCGCTTGGCTTGCAGCCATGTTTCTTCATCATTTGTGTGTGTGTGTGGATTAAATGTGTGTTTACTAGTTGAGAAACTGCGGTTTGTAAGGGTTTCCTGATACCTTCGCTGCAGCGTGCGGAGACGATCCTTGGTCCAACAGAAGGAGGGCCACTTTCTGGTTATCGTAGTGTGCAGCAACATGCAGTGGTGTTAGTCCACTCTAAAAACACATACATACACACATAGATATACAGCTATTATTGGCCAAGAGCTCAAAGGTGGGGTGTGTGAAACAGGTGCCATCATAAATCAATCAGCTTTTACATTTGGACATTGCAGGAGAGTAAATTTAGCCAGAACACATTAGTGAATGAAACCTCTGGAAGTGGAAAATGATAGTATGTACCCTGATAGCATACAAATGTCTCTTTTCACCTGGAAGATGCCATTTTTAAAGCATTCACTAGCTGTCTGCAGTTAGAAAGACATTCAGCGGAATGTCTTAAAAGATGTTTATTAGTTAAAAGACACTGAATACATAACTTAAGAAATAAAATGTATAGATTTGCAGATGATTGCAGCAACATAAGTGTGCTTATATAATTTTTTTATATAAAAAAATTTGTAGTCAGTGACTACATTTTTAATGATAATAGGAATGTGTATTTATAAGCAGTTCTACAAAATATTAACATTAAGCGCATGAGTTTGTTTATATGTATTAAAGACCCTATGAAATTAATGTTTTAAATGCATATAACTGCTTTTAATTTCTTGAGGTTTTAATGGTTCAGTCACACTTAATTTTGTGTTTCATTCACTTCCATTCATACACATGCAAATGCATGAGAGTTGTAATGAGAGTTTACTTTATGTGTGAACTATATGATAACCAACATTCATTATACTTCTGTCTGTATGTCAGACTGAAGATTAGCCAGCACAAGCATGTTGTTTCTTCTTTGTGTGAAATTTAATTGGGTGTAAGCTGAGTTGGGAAACAGATGTAACCATTTTTAGGCATTACACAAAGAATTCTGATTAAATGTGTCCAATGCCCATGTCTCTCATCCAAAATCCTTTTAAACAGATGCTTAGAAATAAAAACTGAATGCTTCATTTCTTACCGTGGTCATGTTACCATACCAGAAACCGAAGATTGGCCATGATGACATAGACTCATACTATAAATCTCGTACATTATAGGTTGTAATCATCAATCTATAACCATTAGTGCACAAATAGACACTTTTACCTTTCCAGCTGCATCAGGTGGCGCTCGCTTCTGTAGCAGTAATTTAGCAACTTCAATCTTCCCGTATTTGGCTGCAACATGCAGGGGAGTGAATCCTTTCTGCAAAGACAAACAGTACATACTTGGAAATAAAGAAAAAAATGTACACTGAATTAAAAAAATAATAATAACCAAAAGAAGAAAAGAAAAAAAACGAAATGTACCCACTAGAATATTCAGAGACAAGTCATCCGTTATGACATGCAAAACTCATTTTGTGTGGGGTTGAAAATGTATAACTGACATTGGGGAAAAAACGGATCTGTGTTGCACAAGTTTCCTTCTGTAATACTAAAGAATAAACTTCTGTCCAGTTAGAGATAAAGCACTGCTGTAACACAAGGCACAGAACAAACATATCCAGTGACAGCTGTTATCGGAGGGAAACTGCTCTGCGGTGAATGGAGTCATGGAAAACACCATCAATTCATTGTCCTTCCTCAGCACATTCCCACACTGTAACACTTGGCAGCCTCTCAGTGATGGTTGTCTCGTATTTTATGTCTATCCCAAGCACACAGCGGGACACTGGGGGAATCTTTTATTACTACAGCTAGAAAATAGCTGCTGAGGGTCAAGGCTGAGTTTTATTGGATGACAAAAATTTAAAGTGCCCCTATTATGGGTTAAGAAAGGTTCATAATTTGGCTTTGGGAGTCCCCAACAACAGGTTGACATGCATGCAAGGTCAAAAAACACTTTCAATTTCTTATGATATGCATTTATTTTTACCTTACTTGCTCAACGACTCCCAAACGATTTGCTCAACGATTAATTTTTCCAAACTCCTCCTTTGCGTGACGCTAATCTGCGGTGATTGGTCCGATTGGTCTCATTTTCATTTCATCATGCCTGTAATGCCTGATAAAGCAGCGTTTGTGAGCGCAGTGCTGCTTTGTGTACAGCGTTACCGGGGAAACCGCAATTTTTACTGCTCCAAAAGCTGCACCTAGTGGCAAAGAATGAATTTGCATGTTCATTCAGACCAACGTGAAAAGACCAACAAGTGGGTGGGCAATATGCTAATGTTTCATGTTGACGTCAACATGAAACGGCTTGGGATTCGTTTTAAAAACGACTCGTTTCAGTGATTCAGAGTCGACTCTTTCTTTTGAGAGACAATAACTTTATACACGGTGCACTTTCAGATTTAAAACTTTGCAGGATGTTTTCATTCACTTAGAGCTGTGTTACACACTGCATGAAAGGTCATTTTCAAAAATCCATAATAGGGGCACTTTACGCTAGTGCATTGCTTTTAGCATATACACTAACATGTATAGTCTCTTCTAAAGATTCATGGTTTCCAGTTCTTTTTCTTTCTTTCTTTCTTTCTTTCTTTCTTTCTTTCAATAGGATGCATATTTTAAAAAGACAATAAACATTCAAGTCTTTCTTTTTGTTTGTGTGTTTGTGTGTGTGTGTGTGTGTGTGTTTGAGAAAATAAGTATATTTCATTAATACTGATCAATATTTAAGGTTTGAATCAAAAAAATTAATATAATTTGAGAAACCATAAATTCGACTAACAAATTAGAGTATTTTATAAATTGGTTCAAAGTATACATTTTTCATTATAATGTCTCCTGGATATTTACAAAACCAACCTCCTGTTTCAGTAGGAAATACAGTATATCAACACAGAAAAGGGAACTGCACTTGCCAAGCCATTACATACGGTCTTTAATGTAAAGCCTGTTTATTCCTGTCTTAACCAGAGAGAAGAGATGTCTTGTTATCCATGCAATCTGACAGATGCTTCAAACTATGTTTCAGTTTGAGTGTAGGCGACTACCGATCTGGTCCACGGACCTTTATTCACTGGGAAAAAGCCCTGTGCTCAATAACATAATGAGAACAAACACCAAAAACTAATACATCCCACATGCATCAACTCCAACTGATCCTAAACATCATCAGATGTTCCTTAATAATGGACATGATGTCAACATCATGCTGTTCCATAAAAGCATTTTGTAATACATTCCATCTAATGGAAATATAACAGCATACTGCTAGCAAAATCCTCCGTCAGCATGGCAGGTTGGTGAGCTATTGTAATGGATGAGATGACCTTTCTTTAGTCAGCTTAAATGTTCAGGGTGGAGATGTAAAGCATTTCACACAGAAAACATTTAGTAAACGCTGATTTACATTCAAGCCGTGATTTAACACTGCTGAGTGACAAATGCTAATACTGAATGTGTCAGGATGCATGATTTATTCCAGTGATGAACTGCAGTGTATTAGTGTTGGGATATCTATCTAGCTATCCGAACTCAACACAGGGAGGAGTCATGATGAGCTAGAGGTGTTCACAAATCATTTCACACACTGCATCAGTTTCCATTAGTTGTTTGCACTGACAGCAATGTGTTAATTTTTGCAAGAAAGCAGAGTACTTGTCAAAACGAATTTACATTTTTTTTACCATTTCATACCATTACTATTTCAGCCCACAAGCAATGTTAAAGCATCCAGTGGTGTTCTACACTGCAGAAATAATAGATTCCTATCTCTAATGTAGCATGTTTAGTTTTCAGTTATGACTTTCCAAATATAATTTCTCGGTAGTTTGGGTTGGGCTTGTCCATTGTAAAGTAAAGGGCAAGACACACATCTGCATAGTGATTAGGATTACACTTTATTTCGATAGTCCACTTTAGACATTCTACTAACTATAAGTAACTTTGTAACTACATGTCAACTACATGTCAACTAATTCTCATTCATTTGCAACTACATGTCTACTAACTCTCAGAGTAGACTGTTAGGGTAGGTTTAGGGTTAGTAGAATAAGTTGACAAAGAAAGTGTTAGAAGATATTAAGCAGACAGTCTACTGATACTGTACTAACTGCTAGTTGACATGTAGTTGACATGTAGTTGCAAAGTTACTTACTGTTAATAGAATGTCTAAAGTGGACTATCGAAATAAAGTGTTACCGTGATTAGTTTTACAGAATAATCAATTTAATTAATAATTTGAAACAACATCAGAACGCAGCTCACATGCTCAATTTATTCATAATTCAATTCGGTTACACTTTACTTGAAGGGGTGTGCATAAGACTGACATGACACCTTCATAATCATGACATGACACCTACATAATCATGACATGACACATGTCATGAATATGAAGGGTTTTTATGCATGTTTATGACAACTGTCATTAGGGTAAGGGTAGGGGTAGGGTTAATTTTTTATGTAAAGATGACATTATTTGAGATGTCTTTGTTATGGGCTATGGTTAGGGGTAAGGGTAGGGGTAGGGTTAGGTTAGGGTTAGGTCAAATAATGTCATATTTGCATTAAAAATGACAAAACTGAGCGAATGACACTTAATGACAGTTGTCATAAACATGCATAAAACCTCCTTCATATTCATGACATGTGTCATGTCATGATTATGAAGGTGTCATGTCAGTCTTATGCACACCCCTTCAAGTAAAGTGTTACCTTGAATTCATTTACTGATTTATTACAAACACAACTGCAGCTTGATGAGGGAGGGGCTGTTCACTCCATTAAACCACATAAAAAGAAATCAACATCCCATCACAAGGGATGTCACAGACAAAGCAAAATGGTGGCGCTCTTGTGGAATGGATGCAATCAAACAATCTTGTTTAAAAATGACGAGTGGAATGGGACCATAGAAAATAGCAGCAGGACTCACTAAACAGCACAAAGTGGATCAGTTTAATAGTGTGATCAAAGTATGATCTATTTTGATTCATCGAAACCACATCAGCGTTAGCCTATCTGAAATAAAATACATTTCTGAAACAAAATATACCACAGAAATATGATGCATTGTAACACTAGGACCAAGGGATCGTTAAAATGAGTGAATGCTATTTTCTTTCCTGTGTTGTATGTATTTCCTGAAACAGTGTTAATTGGTAAAGAAAGTTGAAATTGGACATATTGACGGGCTCATCCTTTTTTTCTTTTTTTTTTTACCAAAAAAAACCATTTAAAAAATAAAGTTACAAATAAATCAATAAATATATAACAATTTATATTGCAAGTAAACATTATATCACAACTATAAAATATTACAACTATATTTTAATATCTATATTTCTTTTATAATTTTGTTTGTGAGAGTCTAGTAAGATCACATTTTTACAGCATAGACTGCGCAGATTGCATAATTTCTGGGAGAACAAAGAGGGAGGATGAATCTTTCAGGCAAAATCAAATCAATCAATATTTCTTAGATTTAACACTTGGATAAAAAGTGCCATTGGATGGTTTTCACTGAATGCTCATCATTTTGCGCACAATTTACTCTACTGTAGTGTAGGGCTGAACAATTTTGGAAAATAATCTAATTGCGATTTTTTTTAACAATATTGCGATTGGGATTTAATATGCAATTTTTTTTAAAGCTCTTTATGTTCTGTATTATTCAACAAAGACAAGCTATAAATCATTGTATAGTATGCCCAACACACTATTAGATAGATTAAACATAAATGTTCTTTTCTGTAGGCCAGGCCTATATGTTACGATGAAATTAGGTGATGCATGAATTGATATGAATGACATTTTTATTTAACAACTACAATCACAGTACATTGACTGATTTGTTGAACTTCCAACCTTGTAAGCATGTAATAATTACGTTTAAATAAGCTTGGTGTAAACATTAATATGAAAGTCAGTAACAAATCACACAAACTAAAGTAGATTGCAGAAATATAAAAACAAATCTGTTGCTTTACCACACTACTTTAGGTAATTCACAGTCACTGTAATAAACATATGTAAACATGTGCACTGCACTTTTTAAACACTGTCTGTTAACTTTAGACCAGTGGTTCTCAAACTTTTTTGGTTGCACCCCCCTTTAAACCTATAAAAAAAATCTGCCCCCCTTTCACGAATCCCCATCCCACCTCAGACTACCAAATAATTTCACTAAACATTATGAAAAATTGATCATCAAGTTGAACACACCTCTTTACTCTCGCGTGTCACGTGACCGTGTAATCGCAGCCTCTGCGATTGAAAAATCGAAATGTTTCATATCGCGATATTATCGCAAATGCAATTAATCGTTCAGCCCTACTGTAGTGTGATGATTGGACTCATCTCATGGAAAGGTTTTAAGTCTTTTATATTTCATTTGTACTGTATTGCAAAACAGAGACTGAACATTGTTGCTAAATCCTTAGATCAAAGAAATTTGTCAACATTCATTTCCATTTTCGGACAGTACACTCTCAGAAAAAAAGATGCAATAATTATCACTGGTTGTACATTTCACAAAATAGATCTTTTTACCTTATTTATCCATAAAGGGTGCATTTAAGTACCTTAAAGGTACTCAAAATGTACATATTAGTACCTAAAGGGTAAATGGTACATCCCAGAGACAGCTTCTGTACCTTTTTTTCCTGAGAGTGTAGACTATATAGTAAATGTAAACAAAAGTATCAAGAGGTTAAAAATAGCCTAGTTGGCATCCAAATCTTCTCTGATCATCTGACAAGCAACAAACAGCAAGTTTTATGAATCGTCCAGCTTTGTTGGTGTGACTGACCTTGGTAGTGATGCCTAGAGATGCTCCGTTGTCCATCAGGATGGATGCCATGTCTTTGTGGCCATCACGGGCGGCCAAGTGGAGCGGCGTGTATCCAGATGTGGTGGTGGCGTCAGGTGAAGCCCCATGTTGCAGTAGTTGCTGGACTATATCTGGTTTTCCCAGACGACTGGATATATGCAGCGGGGTCTGATCGTCCTACACACACACACACACACACACACACACACACACACACACACATATAAGACTTGTTAGTTTTTTTTTTGTAGAGGTTATAAGATGCTAGACCTTTTTAGTATTTCCTTGCAGGACTGCAGAACTCAATTCAATGAGGCAATGCCAAAGAAGATCAGGGCATTTTGGACAGTCTTCATGTCAGCGCAAACAAACAGGCAACTGTTTCCTATTACTGCATTGCATTCCACAGCTATTACATTTACATTTAGTCATTTAGCAGACGCTTTTATCCAAAGCGACTTAAAAAATGAGGACAATAGAAGCAATCGAAACCAACAAAAGAGCAATAATATACAAGTGCTATGACAAGTCTCGGTTATCCACATAGCAAGGTTTTTATATATACCATGTATATATGTAAGCAATAAGGTATGAGAGGCCGTGCTGTATTGTGAATAAATCCCGACTGAAGGGCATTGTTAGGCACTGCGCGAAGCACTGCACCTTCAGCCGTGATTTATTCACAATACAGCACGGCCTCTCGTACCTTATTGCTATAAAACGGTTACCACAAAATAAAAGTATTAAAAACAAAAATGTATGCATTGATATGTTACTTTTTTGAAGCAAGTTCATTAAATGCTGTCCTTCCGTTAAAAAAATAGTTCATGAGTGCTCATGAGAGTTCACGAGTCTCAAAATTAGGTGATGAAAGATGAAAATTGCAACATAACGCCAGCAGGGGTCACTCATGCACACTTCATTAAATAAATAACAAACAGTTAATTCTTCCGAAATACACTCCACTTACAATACAGTAGTTTCATTTCAATATAAGTCTCAGGTGTCTCCAGAATGTGTCTGTGAAGTTTCAGCTCAAAATAGCCCACACATCATTTATTATATCATTTTGAAAATGCCTATTTCTAGAGGAACCAGAAACACGCTGTTTTCGTGCAAGTCTCTTTAAATGCAAAAAACATCTGCTTGGTTTTGATTATCATGTCTTTCGCGCTGAAATCATGCGTTTTAAAGTCAAATCAGTTTATAATTCTTATATACAGTTTTCTTGTTACAAAAACACAGTTGGTTATGTCTGTGAAGGTAAATTACTGGAAAGAAATCACGTTTATATTAGATCTGTGTATTAAAGATTTTTTTATTAAAATATCCAAAAACCACTAGAACAGTGTTATATATTTTGCTGACTTGTGTACTTACATTATCCCAAATGTTTGGAAGAATGTTTAAATCCAGAGAAATAAGCAATTTTAACTAGTGACACGGACCGTGTCTATAGTGTCATTGTGTCGTCTGCCAATGACGTCTTAACCCCTCGATTTCCGGTTTTGTTTTGTAGAGAACATGGAAACACCAAAGACACTTTAATATGTTGTGCGTTTTAATAGACCGGTGACGACCGCACAGAGTAGCATTATAACCGAACTTTCAAATGTATCTAGTATGATAAAACAGCGCTGCTTTTTTCTTCCCACATACGCACGACCGGAAGGAGCGGAAGCCGTCGACTGTGGCATAATAGTATCTCACGCTCGTTCTGCGACCTCGTTTCGCCTCACCATGCTTCATTCTACTATGTTAATAAAATCATTAGCTCATCCATGAACGTGATTTCTGCCTGAGTCCCATCGGATTGCATCGGCTGTGGGGATGAAGACGACAACTCCCATGATTCCACACTCAGTCACGGCGTCATCAAACTACGCCTTTGCCTATTTGTTTATTTTGAATACGCGCCCTCTAGCGGCGAAAATTACATATTGTGCCTTTAAAGCAGTATTTCTTGTGATTTAACTTATTTTCCATTGTTTCCAAGACCATTATGCACAAGTATGATAAAACAGCGCTGCTTTTTTCTTCCCACATACGCACGACCGGAAGGAGCGGAAGCCGTCGACTGTGGCATAATAGTATCTCACGCTCGTTCTGCGACCTCGTTTCGCCTCACCCTGCTTCATTCTACTATGTTAATAAAATCATTAGCTCATCCATGAACGTGATTTCTGCCTGAGTCCCATCGGATTGCATCGACTGTGGGGATGAAGACCACAACTCCCATGATTCCACACTCAGTCACAGTGTCATCAAACTACGCCTTTGCCTATTTGTTTATTTTGAATACGCGCCCTCTAGCGGCGAAAATTACATATTGTGCCTTTAAAGGCAGAGTAAGTGATTTTTCAAAAACAAAAACTGATTCGGGCCGAATCGCAAAACAAACTTGTAGCCAATCAGCAATAAGGGGCGTGTCTACTCGTGATGTGGAGGAGAGCGCGTTCAGTGAATGGTACGTACATTAGCCGAGCCGAGCGACAGAAAGATAGAGATGGCGGATAAAAAACAAAAGAGGAAAACGTCTGCGGAAGGATAAGGCAAGAAGTAGGACCCGTGTAAATATCGGATCAGCTTTCCAGCGCTGGAGAGAACTCAAGGAGCGGAGGCCTGCGATCGGACGCCGAGGTTGCTTTGTTTCTTCTCGATAGGTGAGTAACACCGTGTCTACAACAGCTAAAGTCTGCCTGCACTGGAACGCGATCAAACGACCGTTGAAAACCATTTGAAATTTGTGTCAGCACGTCATAAATAGAAGCCGGCAGCAGTTTTCTGTCGGGGATTTGTTGCGCCGCGCCGCTCACGTCTGTAGACACGGTGTAACATTGGTTTTGCTTTGTTTCACAGAACTAATCGTTGCCTGGGTTGCGTACGTATATGTGGGGCGGAGCTATCAAAATAAGGGCAAGACCCTTTTGAGGTAGGGGCGTGTTTGTTTCGGTGATTTCAAATATCACCATTGGCAACCAGAAATCACTTACTCTGCCTTTAAGTGACATCAGCGTAATATACAGTACCTATACTGCTGTCTACGGTGACAATATGACCCAAACAAATAAAATAAAAACAGAAAATCGTGACTCACTGCTCTTGAATGAATAATTTCTGTAGCTCCAATAAGAAGACATTTCTCACTTGAATGTTGCTTTTAAATGAGCGTGAAGATAAACATGGCGGATTGTGTGCAGCTCACTCAGGGCGGGGTCTCTGCTAATACGGCAGTGTCCGTCAACAGTCGTGGGCAGGGCTTGTAAAATGTGGCGTCACGTTTTACGGACTCTGCGAACAGCTTATTCTGAGACACTGCTTATGATTTATGAAGATTAAAAAAAACAAAAAACGGAGTGGCTGGATTTTTATCATTACAAGGTGGCTGTGTACACACATTTATATTCAAACAACACGTAAAAGTGAATTTTTCATAATAGTTGCCCTTTAACACGAAGGGTTATGGCTTCATTCAAATCGCTCTCTTTGCAAACACCAATAAAGCAGCACATACTTAGATTCATATCTCTCACTCACCTTGGCTTTAGCGTCCACATCTGCTCCATTCGCCACCAGGAATTTCACCACGTTTGCCTGTCCTGCCCTGGCAGCCATATGAAGCGCCGTCTCTCCCCTCTAAAACACACACAGAGGAAGCTTCTGGAAAAAAGGTACTACTGTGTTTGGATAGTAAGCCTTTGTGTGCACACAGCTCTTTCGTCAGTCTCGGCCCCTCTGCCCAAACCGTCTTGCTTTCTTTGTTTTGACACTCTCGGTGGGCTGCACCCCAACAAACTTAAAGCATGTTTCTAGGGTAACAGTGGCTCGCTGTTGGCCCACCGTATGTCTGATGGGGAATAGTCGAGCATGATTACAGTCTGACTGTACTCTAATTACAGTAGACTAAGGAGCTCCAACCTGCGGTCAGATGTATGTTTAAGCACATGGACGGAGACTGTTATTACCCTAAAAGGCAAGAGACCAAACCAATGTGGCAAGCAATGACACGTTCCAGAAAGGAACATGGCTGGACTCTAGGGCTTCGCTAAAATGTTTTGTTTTACTTTGTTTTTCATTATCAAAAGGAAACGGTTTGTTTGGCGCTGGTGGGCTTGGGGACGGCTGTACTCACCACATTCATCGTGTTAGAAGACGCTCCGTGATTTGTCAACTGAGTCACAATGTTTTCATGGCCCATAAAAGCGGCCACATGAATCGGCGTGAGTCCAGACTGCCAGAGACACAGAAATATGCAGGGGCGGAGCTATCAAAATAAGGGCAAGACCCTTTTGAGGTAGGGGCGTGTTTGTTTCGGTGATTTCAAATATCACCATTGGCAACCAGAAATCACTTACTCTGCCTTTAAGTGACATCAGCGTAATATACAGTACCTATACTGCTGTCTACGGTGACAATATGACCCAAACAAATAAAATAAAAACAGAAAATCGTGACTCACTGCTCTTGAATGAATAATTTCTGTAGCTCCAATAAGAAGACATTTCTCACTTGAATGTTGCTTTTAAATGAGCGTGAAGATAAACATGGCGGATTGTGTGCAGCTCACTCAGGGCGGGGTCTCTGCTAATACGGCAGTGTCCGTCAACAGTCGTGGGCAGGGCTTGTAAAATGTGGCGTCACGTTTTACGGACTCTGCGAACAGCTTATTCTGAGACACTGCTTATGATTTATGAAGATTAAAAAAAACAAAAAACGGAGTGGCTGGATTTTTATCATTACAAGGTGGCTGTGTACACACATTTATATTCAAACAACACGTAAAAGTGAATTTTTCATAATAGTTGCCCTTTAACACGAAGGGTTATGGCTTCATTCAAATCGCTCTCTTTGCAAACACCAATAAAGCAGCACATACTTAGATTCATATCTCTCACTCACCTTGGCTTTAGCGTCCACATCTGCTCCATTCGCCACCAGGAATTTCACCACGTTTGCCTGTCCTGCCCTGGCAGCCATATGAAGCGCCGTCTCTCCCCTCTAAAACACACACAGAGGAAGCTTCTGGAAAAAAGGTACTACTGTGTTTGGATAGTAAGCCTTTGTGTGCACACAGCTCTTTCGTCAGTCTCGGCCCCTCTGCCCAAACCGTCTTGCTTTCTTTGTTTTGACACTCTCGGTGGGCTGCACCCCAACAAACTTAAAGCATGTTTCTAGGGTAACAGTGGCTCGCTGTTGGCCCACCGTATGTCTGATGGGGAATAGTCGAGCATGATTACAGTCTGACTGTACTCTAATTACAGTAGACTAAGGAGCTCCAACCTGCGGTCAGATGTATGTTTAAGCACATGGACGGAGACTGTTATTACCCTAAAAGGCAAGAGACCAAACCAATGTGGCAAGCAATGACACGTTCCAGAAAGGAACATGGCTGGACTCTAGGGCTTCGCTAAAATGTTTTGTTTTACTTTGTTTTTCATTATCAAAAGGAAACGGTTTGTTTGGCGCTGGTGGGCTTGGGGACGGCTGTACTCACCACATTCATCGTGTTAGAAGACGCTCCGTGATTTGTCAACTGAGTCACAATGTTTTCATGGCCCATAAAAGCGGCCACATGAATCGGCGTGAGTCCAGACTGCCAGAGACACAGAAATATGCAGCTTTGAAGCACTGGGAACTGCATGCTAAAGCAAATATTACCTCATTTCAAAACGCACATGTTGTGGTTCAAAACAACAGCATATCTGATTGAAACACTTTACAATTTTCACATTTTGTGAAATGCTTCATTGCAGTGTATGAAAACCCATCACAATGACCAGAAACAACTGCAAGACTTAAAAGCCACAATGCCAGATATAAAGTCACATTGTGAGTTTAAAGTAAATGATAAGAAACTAAGTAGCAGTTTTGATATATAAAGTCACATTGCAAAATATAAATTGACTGTCTAACATAAATTCAATTACATAATATAAAGTTACAGTTGGCAGATACCAGCCACACTATACTCTTAAAAATAAAGGTGCTTCAAAAGGTTCTTCAAGCGATGCCATAGAAGAACCATTTTTGGTTCCACAAAGAAGCATTCAGTCAAAGGTTCTTTAAAGAACCATCTCTTTCTTACCTTTTTGTAATCTGAAGAACCTTCTTTCACCACAAAGAACCTTTTGTGAAACAGAAAGGTTCTTCAGATGTTAAAGGTTCTTAATAGAACCATTTAGACAAAAAGGTTCTTCTATGGCATCGTGAAGCACCTTTATTTTTAAGAGTGTATAGTGACAATTGTGAGCTATAACGTTGCAAAAAAATTTTTTAGACAAAAACAGGCTTTGTAATCTAATTTAACAGCACCATATTTCCATCTGGGGCAGAGGAGCAACTGGAAAAGTAGGAGGGACACTTTATAAACCTTATCATCTTTGCTCATGAATATTATTTAGGTGCCATAACATTCATATTTAGCTGATTGGTAAAATGCAGGTAAATGGGCCAAAGCTTGCTTGTTCTGAAAATGCAGCTGGCTGGTCTTAAAGTCATAGTTCTTTAAATAATATGCAAGCCAAATAAAACCCTAAATAAATAATGATGTGCTAAAAAGTGGGGGAGACATGTCCCTCCATTTATAATGGTTGCTACATCTGGTTTTCACAAACACAACCAACATTTCTTACAAAAACATAAGCAACGTTTCTTCCATTCAGAGTTATTAAGCTGTTGAGATCAAAGTGCATGGTAAAGCAAGCTCTGCAAATGTACAGTAGATATTCAGAAAAAAAAAATCTTGCTCTCTCACCTCAGTCACCGCCTGAATGGACGCTCCGTGTTTCAGCAGCAGCTCCATCACTTTAATCCTGTTCTTCTTGCAAGCGATGTGAAGTGGTGTAAAACCATTCTACAGAGAGAGAAAAAGAGATTCTGGTGGCTTGTACTCCAGTTTACTAACGAAAATCTGGTTGCTTTCTGCCCGTAACCAGATGACTGAAGAGTTAACAAAGCTTTGTTTCCAGACGAATGAAAACACGTGGCTTCTGCTGCTCAATGCTTGGCAGACTTGTCTTTCTACAGTTTTCGTTCTTTCTTCCTTTTTTCCTCATAAACTGCAGAGACACGCCCGTTCTGTAACCATTACTTCAGAGCATGACAGTATTCACTGTGCTCTTTGCCAAAAGAGGCTTTTTACAGACCGCCATGGCGCTGTGCAGAAACAAAACATGTTACATGTCATAACCTTCCCTCCAAGTGCTCACATATAAAATTGGGAGGGTACCATCTAAAGTGGAAGCCAAAGGGGGGAAAAAAAAGGTATTCTGGGATTTTACGAGACTAGTAAACTCTGTTTTTTACCTCACTGACCACATTTAAGTAGAAAGTTTTCCTGAATCAACACAACAGCTGAATCTCAGCTAATCAGAGTTTGGGTTTGGACTACAATAACATCTGATTGTTTGATTGTATTCTGTAAAAAATTAAGTTGTAAAAAAACATAGGAACTAAAAATACATTATTGTATTATTGGGGTATGTTTTACAAGAAAATATTGTTGTGTTTCAGGTCTCCTACTTTAAAATCTTATGTTTAACTCAATGTGTTACTTGCTGTTTCTTTGAAATTGTTTGTGAAATTTTCCAGCAATTTCTAAGTGAAAATTGTTTTTACATCAATCTTTTTTTCAGTGTATTGTTTTTTCCCCCCCATGCCAGTCTATTACTGTGACATATTGAATTTAAGATAAACTAGCCACCAAACAAAAAAACACTGCTCGCTTTACATTAGTCAGTTAGGTGGTCTTTTATCCCTATTAAAAGGGATAGTTCACCCAAAAATGAAAATGCTGTCTTCATTTAATCACCCTCCAGTTTTTCCAAATCTGTACGAGTTTTTTTTTTCTGCCGAACACAAAAGAAGAATGTTGGCTGATGGTAGCCATTGACTTCCATTTTTCCATACTATGGAAGTCAAAGGCTACCATCAACTGTTTGGTTACCAACATTCTTTAAAATGCTCAACAACAGCTTTAAGAAACTCATATAGGTTTGGAACAAATTGAGGATGAGTAAATGACAGAATTTTCTTTTTTGGGTAAACTATACCTTTAAGTGGACGGTTCTTGGCCTAAATGTTGTAAAGTGCACCCAACCTTATGCCTATAGTCAAAAGGTCTGGCTATGGGAGACTATGATTAGGGAATTTTGTTAGTTAGACAGGATCAAAAAAGAAACTGATCCAGAAACATTATACTTGTCAACTCAAGATTCACCAGTGCTTTGGCATTAGGATTGGCCTTCTTGTCCACAAGGACCTTGGCAACTTTGTAGTGTCCGCAGTGTGCAGCGACGTGCAGGGCTGTCAGATAATCGTTGGTGATGTCGTCCACGGGCACGTCGTGATGAAGCAAGAGCTGAACGCAGTTCAGATGATCTCCTTGCGTGGCCATGTGCAACGGTGAAAGGCCGTTCTGTTGAAACATGCAACAATCTAGGTTATGCTGAAATTAAATAACTGAAGAACTTTCACTTCTCTATTCTCTATTTTGTAGGAATCACAGATGAATCAAATCTAAAGCCGTTTTTCATCTTTCTAAGAATTCAGAGAAGCAAATGTAAACTTTTAAAATCTAATAGAGCCATAATCCCCCCTCAAAAAGGACATCTGGGGTAAAAGAACAGCGAGAGAGTATTTATACATAACTATTTGTACTAAAACAATTGCTCCATTGTGACACTAATCGGCTGGGATATTATCTAATTTGGCGAGAAGTCTGTGACCATGTTTTGCTTTGCTTTCGGATTCCAGGAAAGTGTTCAGTGATGCAATGGAAAAACAAGAAAAAATGATAGTCACATCTGCATACACTTAAAGGAGCAGTTCATTCAAAAATGATGTCATTCACTTGCCATCATGTCATTCCAAGCCCATACAACCCTTACTAGAACACAAAAAAGGTTGGTTTAAAAGTCGAGGTTTCAAAGACAATTTGCAATATTTGCATTCATGCATTTAGCAGACTCTTTGATCCAAAGCGACTTACAAAAGAGTAATAAAAGCAGTTTGTTTGAGTGTGTACAGTAAGTGCATTGGTTTATGGGTGTGGGGTGGTTAAGTGCTTGCAGAAGTGGTGTGTCTTCAGCTGCTTTTTGAAATTTGTGAAGATTGGCAATTCATTCCACCAGAGAGGGTGAAGGTTTTGGAAAGTGACTTTTTTCCTGGTTGTTTTTTATCCATATTATTACAGATTATTATAGATTTGACTGCACTGACACTATTGGAAAAGAACAAAACTTCAGCTGAACTGAGCTGGACAATAACACTAACTTTGTAACACTGACATAGTTATTGAACAGAACTGAATCAACACTGAAGTGACTGTAGATCTGCTTATAGAATTAACATTGAACTAAATTGAGCTGAATAATAACACTATTGTCTTCTGTAGAGGAACAAAAATAATTTTGCTTCATTATTTAGGAATTTTGCAACATTAACATTGCTATTTTCCTGTTTATTACGGTAAAGCTGCTTTAAAACAAACTGTTTCATTTCATTTTTGCTTTCAGCATTTTATTCTGTTTGGTACGCATATTTCACGTTTACTTTATATACCGAAAAGAGCAGCATGAACATTCTTCAAAATATCTCCTTTTGTGTTCCACAGAAGAGGTTTGGAAAGACATGAGGGTGAGTAAATTATGACAGAATATGCATTTTCTTTAAGTGCAGAACACTATATCTAACCTTTGTCTTAGAGAGGATGGGTGCTCCACGGTCTAGTAACATCTCAACTACTTGCTCATGACCGCTCCTTGCTCCACAATGTAAAGGTGTCAGGCCGTCCTGGAGATTTGAAAACAAGCACACATATATTACACACTGCCAGACTCTGCAATCATCAGCCATCATTAACATTACAATCCCTCCCATGTGACATGTGCCAATATGTCAAATTCACAATGAAAGACAGCATTCCTCTACTGGAGACAGAGAAGAGTGCAACATCTGTATGCAATTTCTCTTCAACAGTGGTGCCAAACACATGTAACCCGAGGGCTGCGGTTGTTATCATTTATTCAAATCAAACGGCATGTATCCCTGAATTATCCCTTCCAAATAAATTCCCTTTTCATCTTGTGTTTCTAAGAAAGCAGCTGAAAATGGCCACAAATGAACAGCAACTGAATTAGTTTCCTCTGAAACTTAATATGTAATTTGTTCATAAATTACAGCTTTTTTTCTTTCCAAGTCTTTCTTGACTATAGAATCTACACATGCCATTGTGAAATACATGCAATGGGGAAAACCATGTGCTCACTTCCTCTGATGAGTTAAATCTAGAGCTGGAAAAGAAAGACGGTCTGTGTGGTTCGACTGCTTGCGGCACTGACCTTGGTTTTGGCATCGATTCGGGCTCCTCTCTCCAGCAGCAGCCTGACCATGTTGGCATTTCCTCTTTTCGATGCCACATGGAGAGGTGTGATGTCATTCTGCCACAATAAAAAGACAAAACTAATAGTCAGACACATAATCCAAGTACAAAAGAACAAGGTTGATTACATGTAAACACATACTATATTGGATGTTGTGTGACTGTATTAGAATTGGCATTTTCTTTGCATATCTGATGAACTAATAATGAATTTTCGATAGCAAAAGCTATTTTAAAAGGAGGAATTTCCATAATTATTTCATTGAAACATTGTGCACTTAACCATTAAACATCACTTATTTTTGTTAAATCACTCTCTCTGCAAATGTTTATTAGTCAGAAAATTTTTCAGTTAAAATGTCCTTTTAAGGGAAAATGGACAAACGCTATGGTTGTTGTTGTGTTAAAAATGTAATTATTGTGTGTTTTTCAGTTTTAGTAATTTTACTCCATGTAAACTAAACTAATGCTACTACATACATCAAAAAACACAATTGCTTAATAATATTATTTAATAGCAGCAAATATTATGTACACAAAATTGCTGAAATGAAAACTTAATTTTCACTGTAAATGTGTACTATTCATCGAAAAGTAAGTCAGCAATCACAAGGAGTAGAAAACCTGTAGAAATCTGTAGACAAATCTGCAATAATCTGTACCAATCAAAAGGATGCATTAATGTTTCAACAGAGATTGTTTTATTTTACTACTGTATATTTACTGTATATTAAAAAAAAAACAGTAAACTGATGGTGTGAGGTTGAATTATGCCAATCCTCTAAAACCATACATACTTTAATACAGTATTCAATAATAGTATCTCTAAACCTGTTTACTTTGAATATAGGCTGGTTTTTATTGCGTCTTAATTTGTCTGCATGTGTGACAATATGTTGCTGATGGAATATAAGCATCTTTGGTGGACAATATGTGTTCCATCTTAGAGATTTTTAATAATGTCGCACAAATAAGAGATTCTGTCCATAGCAGCAGCGGCACAAATGAAGCACACAACGTCATACTGTAGACACTGTAGTATTGGGCCACACCACCCTCTAGTGATAGCTTACAAAATCTCTAATTTACTATGACAGACTGCTTAGCATTTTATAAAACATGGTGGACCCCACTGAGTCCGATGTGAGGCATCATAGGAGCAATGTTATGTCACTTATGTTATGCTAAAACTGTGTGGGACTGAATATTTGAATACACGATAGTGGACGCTTTGACACAGATGGATGTAGTATATTCCACAATATGGAGTCAGATCTATGGGATCAAATTACACTTAGTGTCAGGGTCAAAGAGCTGCAGAGAGACACTGGTAAACATGGTCTAAACCAGTGCATGGTCAATCTGTGTATGCAGTGCCAAAATGGTGTCTGGATCAGGTGTTTTATCTTTTCATCAGGAGTATTATATATTTATTGTTCTGAGAGCAACACTGATTGGAATTTATTAGCTATCATACAACAGTTATTTTCAGGATTCTAATTTGTTTGGCTAAACAACAGCACTGGGACGTGCACTGATTGTATCATGCTTGTCAGTGTTCATGGCATTCCGGATCAAAGTATGTGAGACTTTCTTTAAAAAAAAGGATATGCACATTATTTATTTGTGAGAAAATTTCATTAAATAACATGGAAATATACACCATCCTTTTTGAAGCAATTTCAATCCATGCTTTAAATACTGTATGACATGGTTTTCCTCAGGCACCACATACAGAGAATAGGGTTGCAAAGGGGTGAAAATGTCCGGTAAATTTCCGTAAACTTTCCAAAAATCCCAGGAATATAAAACAACAGCACTGGGACGTGCACTGATTGTATCATGCTTGTCAGTGTTCATGGCATTCCGGATCAAAGTATGTGAGAGTTTCTTTAAAAAAAAGGATATGCACATTATTTATTTGTGAGAAAATTTCATTAAATAACATGGAAATATACACCATCCTTTTTGAAGCAATTTCAATCCATGCTTTAAATACTGTATGACATGGTTTTCCTCAGGCACCACATACAGAGAATAGGGTTGCAAAGGGGTGGAAAATGTCCGGTAAATTTCCGTAAACTTTCCAAAAATCCCAGGAATATTCCAAAAAATCCTGGAAAGTTTCCAAACTTTTTGGAATGTTTCCGAAATTTACTGGAAATCTTCCACCTTTTTGCAACCCTAATAGAGAATGACCCTGTTCTGACCCCAGTGTAGTTCATAATACTCTGCACTCCACTCTTACGGAATCCTTCAGCTGGAGTTCATGTCCTTACCCTCGCCTTGAAGTCTACGGCAGCCCCACGGTTCAGAAGCAGGGTCGCTACGTTGATATTACCGTAATGAGCCGCAATGTGGAGAGGGGTGAAGCCACTCTGGAGAGGGACAGAGAGAAATAGAGCACAGGGGTCAAAATGTCACATACAGAACTCTGAAGGCCCTGACCTCAAGTCACCTGACCTGACCTCATCCTCTACATATGAAAAGATGACCCCAGGCCAGGTGTGGTGCAGTAAATCAGTAAAACAGATCTACACAGATGACCTTAGCACAACACTGAGGGAAGGCACATCCTTCACTTGATCCCTCAATCTGGCTGATTCATTCTTTTACTTTGGTTTGAACATTAGGTTTAATTTATTTTCTTTAATCTTTAATGTTTAATCCAATACTTTAATCTCTCTGTTTACACACCATGCTGTGGTTGCAATAGATGGGAGGGTTTTCCATTTTAAAGGATGTGCTTTCCTCAGATATACAAAGCCTTTATAACAGCAACCTTCATCCCAAATTTGAATTTATGTGTGCAAACATGCATACAGTGCACTGCATTTAACAATGTGCTGTTAAAACATCAAAAATCAGTTTCTCTAACTATAATCACAAATATGATTTTAATTATTTGAAAGCAAATTGCAGCACGTTATTGAGTCATATACAGTATAGTAAACAATAGTTTTAAAATAGTCAGTAGGCCACTGTAAATTTGAGAGAGCAGTTGAGCTGTAGCTGTAGATGAATATCATACTATTATTCTCAGTGTTGTAAGTGATTAATACTGTATTTAAGTTACATATCATGCAGTGCAAATCAAAGCTGTTAAGTTGCAAGAGAGCTGGAAGAAATCTGGAAGCCATGCTGACTGAGAAGAGAAGAGAAGAGAAGAGAAGAGAAGAGAAGAGAAGAGAAGAGAAGAGAAGAGAAGAGAAGAGAAGAGAAGAGAAGAGAAGAGAAGAGAAAAAATAAAAGATGAAATAATTTTTTTGACTTTTCTCTTGTCTCAAAATGAGAGAAGTGATGAAACAATATTAAATAAGAAGAGATGAAACAAGAAGAAATTAATAGAAATGAGAATAGAGATGAGATGAGACGAGACGAGATAAAATCAGAAAAGAAAAGAAACAAAACAAAACAAGATGGAATAAGAGAAGAAATAGTATGAAAAAAACAAGTAGAGAAAACAAATCAAGACAAGAGATAAATCAAGAAAGACAAAATGAAAAAAGTGATAAAAGTATTAAATGAGAGGAGATGAGACAGGAAAAGAAAAGAAGAAATGAAACAGATAAAGCATGACGTCAAGAGATAAGAAGAGACAGAATGAGTAGAATAGAGGTGTAAAAACAGAAGAGAAGTGAAAAGATTAGACAATCCAGATAAGAAGGAGAGATGAAACAACAAAATGAAATAAAAGGAAATGAAATAACAAGTAAAGAGAACAAAGAAATGAAACAAGAAGAGAGTAGAGGAGAAAAGAAATGAAGAGATGAAAGTAGAAGAGAAGGTCAGTAACTCTTTCTGCTGACACCTGCTAGGAGGGGAATGTCATGCATGAGACGGGACGAATGCTCTGCAGCTGAGAAGTCTGATTCTATGCTACCTTCTTCAGGACAGTAAGAGATGTCTGGGCTTTGGTCTAAAAGGGCATTTAGATTTATAGTTGAAAATAGTTGAAGTATAAAGCATATTCTGAAAATTCAAGCTGGCTCAGCACACTATTCTGATCGCCAGAATATGTTGTGTTTTGGGATATTTGTGTGCAAGCTTCTTTGCTACACTAACCACTAAAGGTCTCTGCACACTGAGTCCGAATGTTTCGTCCGAAATGTTCGCATGTTGAAAAATAAATATGACCTCACGTTGTGTCAATCACGTTTACACACTGCCTCCGAAACTTTCGGCCGTCATAAAAAATTCGGACCAGGTTCGATTTTCTGCGTTTTCGCATCCGTAGCAAGCATTTTGATAGGAAAGGATGACGAATACGAAAAAAACTGAAAAATGCATACGAAAGTTTCGGACTCAGTGTGCAAGGACCTTAAGACTTGATCAAACAGTTTTATTAGGTACTGTAAGGTAACAGCATGACTTTATTAGTCCATCAGCTGGACCAGAACCAAACCAGCATAAGCCAGTTGGAACAGCATAGACATTTGGGGCAAAACTATCCCAGTTTAATATACAGAAACAACCAGCGGGCCACTGGTAGGTTGACTTCTTGAGCAGGACTATCTGTGCGACCAATGGCAAAAGTCGGAAAACACACAATCATGATCTTGCAATTCCATTTGGTGCCACTAGCGGCACAGAAATTACACAAACAAAACAAAAAACTCTCTCAGCTGCAGACCTCGCCTGCTGACTGAGAAGAGAAGAGAAGAGAAGAGAAGAGAAGAGAAGAGAAGAGAAGAGAAGAGAAGAGAAGAGAAGAGAAGAGAAGAGAAGAGAAGAGAAGAGAAAAAATAAAAGATGAAATAATTTTTTTGACTTTTCTCTTGTCTCAAAATGAGAGAAGTGATGAAACAATATTAAATAAGAAGAGATGAAACAAGAAGAAATTAATAGAAATGAGAATAGAGATGAGATGAGACGAGACGAGATAAAATCAGAAAAGAAAAGAAACAAAACAAAACAAGATGGAATAAGAGAAGAAATAGTATGAAAAAAACAAGTAGAGAAAACAAATCAAGACAAGAGATAAATCAAGAAAGACAAAATGAAAAAAGTGATAAAAGTATTAAATGAGAGGAGATGAGACAGGAAAAGAAAAGAAGAAATGAAACAGATAAAGCATGACGTCAAGAGATAAGAAGAGACAGAATGAGTAGAATAGAGGTGTAAAAACAGAAGAGAAGTGAAAAGATTAGACAATCCAGATAAGAAGGAGAGATGAAACAACAAAATGAAATAAAAGGAAATGAAATAACAAGTAAAGAGAACAAAGAAATGAAACAAGAAGAGAGTAGAGGAGAAAAGAAATGAAGAGATGAAAGTAGAAGAGAAGGTCAGTAACTCTTTCTGCTGACACCTGCTAGGAGGGGAATGTCATGCATGAGACGGGACGAATGCTCTGCAGCTGAGAAGTCTGATTCTATGCTACCTTCTTCAGGACAGTAAGAGATGTCTGGGCTTTGGTCTAAAAGGGCATTTAGATTTATAGTTGAAAATAGTTGAAGTATAAAGCATATTCTGAAAATTCAAGCTGGCTCAGCACACTATTCTGATCGCCAGAATATGTTGTGTTTTGGGATATTTGTGTGCAAGCTTCTTTGCTACACTAACCACTAAAGGTCTCTGCACACTGAGTCCGAATGTTTCGTCCGAAATGTTCGCATGTTGAAAAATAAATATGACCTCACGTTGTGTCAATCACGTTTACACACTGCCTCCGAAACTTTCGGCCGTCATAAAAAATTCGGACCAGGTTCGATTTTCTGCGTTTTCGCATCCGTAGCAAGCATTTTGATAGGAAAGGATGACGAATACGAAAAAAACTGAAAAATGCATACGAAAGTTTCGGACTCAGTGTGCAAGGACCTTAAGACTTGATCAAACAGTTTTATTAGGTACTGTAAGGTAACAGCATGACTTTATTAGTCCATCAGCTGGACCAGAACCAAACCAGCATAAGCCAGTTGGAACAGCATAGACATTTGGGGCAAAACTATCCCAGTTTAATATACAGAAACAACCAGCGGGCCACTGGTAGGTTGACTTCTTGAGCAGGACTATCTGTGCGACCAATGGCAAAAGTCGGAAAACACACAATCATGATCTTGCAATTCCATTTGGTGCCACTAGCGGCACAGAAATTACACAAACAAAACAAAAAACTCTCTCAGCTGCAGACCTCGCCCGGCTAAACCAGAGTGTTTCCTCTCCATGCTAGTTTTCCGCTGCCCGTTAGTAATAGAAGCGCCAATTTACTGAGACAAAAAAGCAATGAGCAGGGGCAGGAGGGGATGGGGCGGCAGCCACAGCAGCAGAGTGATGTGGGTGCTTTGTGAGGTGTGTAACATTTGTACATGTATACCTCTGTCGTTCTATTCACCATCATCTAGAAGGACCACCAGAGCGGGAGGAGAAAGAATGGTCTGATTAGTGTTCACAAAGTCACAATGGGAGCATCAAGCTGTACGGTGGCTACATCGTGAGGGAGAGCGACAAACCACACATCACACGACACCACAAGGGCTTAACTGGATGGTGCATCTACTAGTATTTGCTTTAAACTGGCGTGTGATAGAAGATGACGTTTTAAGGAAATTTACAATGAGCATCTCCCATCATGCACCACTGAATTACAGCCACCACAATGTCTGTTTAGATGTATATTGTGTTAATTCCAAAAGACAATAAT